AATATCGATGCCTGTAAGTATCGAGTACTTTATAGTAATTTACTGATAACAGAATACTTTGCCGCTTCTATTGATAAGAACTGCCAAAAAGAAATACAGAAAAAAGAATCATTTACTAAACTTTTAAAAAAATCCAAGAAATAAACGCCAGCAATTTAAAAAAAGAGCAATTTAGATGTTTTTCTCATTTCTTGAACTTTACTATAATAATTCAAAATTACAAAGTCGATTTTGATGATATATAGTGTTCTCAAAGTTAAAAACTAATTAAAAAAAATCATCAGTATCTGATATCTAATTATCAAATACCATGCATTTAGTGGATAGACATACTACATGCATATAAAAAAAAATAGAATATTCTTTTTCGTACTAATGTCTCATCCATCTGTAGGTCGACAGGCTGTAAAGTGCGAGCCCTGTCAACAAATATAAATGAGTCGAAAAATGTTAATGACAAAGAAAAAAACCAAAAAGAAAACCTTCAAATGTATCGATATGAAATAAAAAAAATTTAATACTTTTAGCGAATCCTTACCTAATTTTATCAACCACCTCTACTCTATATAGCTACTATACTATTGTGATTGTGAATCTATTTTCTTCTAGAGTCGCAGTAGTTTAAAAAGAAAACTGAAGTGCAACCATTAGCGCCCACCTCCAGGTAGTAAATAATGTTATGTTCCTTATTCGACTATATTATTATAATTATTATTTGTAATAATTATTTGAGTTAACAGAACAAAATTATAACTTATAATATTTAATTTTTGAGTATACATTAATATTTAATTTTAAATTTATCTTAATTAATAGATTAATAAACTGTGTGTGTGCGTGCGTGTGTGTGTATGTGTGTGTGTGTGTGTGTGTGTGTGTGTGTGTGTGTGTGCGTGTGTGTGTTTTTGTGTTTTTGGTTATTGGTATACAAAGGAAACAGAAGGAATTCAGAAAAACCCATTCAACAGTTCCTCGATCTCTTCATAAGTGAGGGTATGAAGCCATTTCTCAACCACGATTTTACATTTTCGTAAGGTAAGACTGTAAATTTTAAGGATTTTATTGATTTTATTGTACAGTATGGGGCTCAGGAACTGATATTGTCGACTTGCCACGCTCACATTACAGGACTCTAATCTACACACTCTATCGGATCTACGCACTTGCTTGTTAAAGTTAGGATCATAAACTAAGCTGGTATGTTTACGCATCACAGAGTTCAATATGAAGGAGTGTCTAACTCTAGGTAAATTACAATGAGCATATAGCTCATTTGTTGGAAAAGAAAACGGTTTGTGGCACATAACTTTCAGAACAGCTCTTTGAGCTCTTTCCAAGCGTAAGAATGAACACTTTCCAGCATTTCCCCAAGCGGTAATGCAGTGCGTCAGAATGGAGTGGGCAAGAGCAAAATAAACTGTTCTGAGTGTTTTGAAGTCGGCGGAGACCCGAAGATTTCGGAAGACATAAATGAGTTTCCTAACCTTTGAGGTAAGTGATTCAATCTGATCATGCCAAGACAATGTGCTATCAATCATCACACCAAGATATTTTAAGCTATGAGTTCTGGTAATCCTAGCACAGCCGCAGAAGTCATCTGTGATATTTCCACATTCATGGATCACTTGCTCAAATGCAGAATCCGGCTGGGAAGCGAGTCTTGGGGCAAAGGTGATATATTTGGTTTTGTCGGTGTTAAGTGTAAGTAAATTTGCTGATAGCCACTCCGTGACTGCTATCAATGCAGACTCCGCACATGAACGAGCCTCCGACCAGTCAGTCCCATGAACCAGAATGACGGTATCATCTGCGTAAGTAATAATTTCGGAGTTTAACAATGACATCATACAAAGTTCATTTATGTAGATCAAAAACAATGTAGGTCCAAGGACACTACCTTGAGGTACTCCATAAGTAAGAGATATCGCATCACTAGTATGATCCTCAATTCTAACAACTTGAGAACGTTCAGACAGATAACTACAGAAAATGTCAAGTGCCAGGCCCCTAACACCGATTCTCTCCAACTTTTTTAATAAAATTGGTACAGAGACAGTATCAAATGCCTTCGATAAGTCGAGGAAAATGGCGATAGATTTTAGTTTTTTATTTAAGTTAGATGCCACACCATTAGTCAACTTCAGCACCGCATCCTCAGTACTTTTGCCGGATCTAAAACCATATTGGTTATCAGCTAAAACGCATTGTGAATTTAAAAATGTTATAAGTCTATTGTTAAGAATTTTTTCTAGTAATTTAGATAGTATAGTTAGTACTGATATAGGTCTAAAATTATTTATACTAACGTCTCCACCTTTATGTATCGGATGTACCAAAGCCTTCTTAAAGACTCCTGGAAAAATCCCAGATACAATGCAAAGATTAAAACGTGGCATATGATAGGTATCAGAACATGCTTAGCAGCCCTGACAAGCGTGGCTGAGATACCATCGCATCCAATAGCGCAATCCTGCTTTAGATCAATTATAAGACGCTCGATCTCGAAATTATCCGTATTGAGAAGACCCATTGAATAACAAGGCATATCAAACGATAGTTTTGATCCTGCATGGGGATTATAGCTAGTTGGTTTTATTTTAGCAGCTAGATTTTTACCAATATGAGCAAAAAATGAGTTAACAGTGTTTACCGAATTCAATGGATTATCATTTATAGATAACAGCTGCGAAGAAATCGTGTTTTTCTTTTTTAAATTTGTAATTGTTTTAATGAGCTTCCAGGTCGCCTTAGGATTTTTATTATATTTTTTAAATTCGGATCTTTCAAATTCACGTTTAATTTTCTTTAGTAAATTATTGCAAAAATTTCTGTATCTTATATAGGTAATTCGTAAGCAATGATTATTTGGGTTCCTTTTCCTGGACGTCATCAGCTGTCATGTCAAAGTAGTGTTAAAAGATACATAAAATATCGATGCCTGTAAGTATCGAGTACTTTATAGTAATTTACTGATAACAGAATACTTTGCCGCTTCTATTGATAAGAACTGCCAAAAAGAAATACAGAAAAAAGAATCATTTACTAAACTTTTAAAAAAATCCAAGAAATAAACGCCAGCAATTTAAAAAAAGAGCAATTTAGATGTTTTTCTCATTTCTTGAACTTTACTATAATAATTCAAAATTACAAAGTCGATTTTGATGATATATAGTGTTCTCAAAGTTAAAAACTAATTAAAAAAAATCATCAGTATCTGATATCTAATTATCAAATACCATGCATTTAGTGGATAGACATACTACATGCATATAAAAAAAAATAGAATATTCTTTTTCGTACTAATGTCTCATCCATCTGTAGGTCGACAGGCTGTAAAGTGCGAGCCCTGTCAACAAATATAAATGAGTCGAAAAATGTTAATGACAAAGAAAAAAACCAAAAAGAAAACCTTCAAATGTATCGATATGAAATAAAAAAAATTTAATACTTTTAGCGAATCCTTACCTAATTTTATCAACCACCTCTACTCTATATAGCTACTATACTATTGTGATTGTGAATCTATTTTCTTCTAGACCCGAAGTTTGTGACGTCATACGCTGGTAAACAGAACCTGTTATCGGTTGCGAGGACAACAATTTACGGGGTGTATTCGGCGTTCATTTCAATTTCTAAAAATATTGCAGTTTTTACATTATTTTACGAATGTTTGACATATTTTGCAGATTCTAAGAAATAAACTTTATGAGATTATTATCTAATAGGATGACCACAACATGAAACTTATTTTCAATAGTGTCAAATATCCCATTGATTGGTCGCTAGAAGTGGTTAAGATATGTCTGATGGAAAATTGTATATACTTTGATTTATTTGAATGAGGAACTATTTAAAAAAAAGAAAATCATTGAAAAAAGCACCTCCACTAGATGAAGACTCTAGCAAAAGTTGATTTTTGCAGAAAACGAATGAATCAAAGATAGTAATGTCCATTCTTTTTAACTATAATATAAAAAATCTGAAATTTGCAAAGTTCGAAACTTAAATATCAATAAAAATATAATATGTGTTATTTAATGAGTTTCGAAAACTCCCAATTCTCTACATATAAGAGCAAACAAGTATCATTAGCTTAAGATATAACTTTTCCCATGGGAAATTTTAATTGAAGATGACCATTAATATATTTCAGAAAAGGTTAGTCCCAAATATTTTACCCTAAAGTACACCAAAAGTTAATGAGGAAGTATTTAAAAAAAAAAACATTAGTTCCAGAAATCTAACTAGATGTCGCCACGGTACGTTCTTGTTTTCTCCATGACAACTCAATAAATTAAAAAAAAAATTCAAAACTCAATAAACAATTCATATTCTTTTTGTATTTTTTCGTATTTGTAAATCAACTTTTGCTAGAGTCACTATCAAGTGGAGGTCCTTTTTTGGTGCTTTCTTTTTATTTTAAAAACTTGCTCATTAAGAATAGCTGGTATCTGGCTGAATGCAAATTAACAAAACATAAAATGGTGGCACGGCACGGCACGTCACACACACAAACACAGTTACATGCCATGCATTGAATGGCGCGCGCGCTTTTACCGACAACCGAGCGAGCGAGAGAAATAAGCTGTCGCTCTCTCGTTCTATCAGATGCCTTCATTTTATATAAAATATCGCACGCACAGAACAATACTGTATTAGTCGGATAATAGTGCAGTGTTGATCTGGCTGTGCGATATGGTCAGGTCTTATTCGATTCGATACCAAGTACTTTTGTTGCGATACCAAATATGTATCACAAGATTGATTCGATGCTATTAATACTTGGTATCGAATAAAAAGTATCGAGTACATACTCGTATTTACTAGTATCGGATGGTCCCTACTCACCTCTAGTAAGTGACGTATGTCACTCATTTTATTGATGAATTTTAGCCGCTCTGATAACAACAGTGAATTACGAATTTATGAGAAAGAAACATCTTTAAATTGTCAATTATACATTGGAAATTCATTGTTGATGTATTCCAAGTGCGTATAACATGGTGCGGCATAGGAAAGTTGGTCATGTTCAGTTAAAGCACGGCAATAACAATGAAACGAGCAGCAGTTCAAATAATAGTGAATCTTCTTTTGCTAGTCGGACGTTTAAAGTGCTTTCAATATGGAAAACCCTTGTGGGTTTTGTTTGTTTTCTGATAGCAGTCTATGTGGGCACATTGGGTTATTTGGAGACGAGAGTGAACACTCCTTTTGATAATGAAAAGGTTAGATAAAAAAAAATATTTCGGCATCTACTTTAAACCATTTTTAAGATATTTATATGTTACTTATTTAGATAGATATAACCATTAAATATTTACCCTCATTATTTTAGTTAATGCCTGCTTTTTAATAAGACTTAAGAAAAGTTAAGGAGCCTAAGGAAAAATCTGAATATACATTTGTAATTAAATTAAAAAAAAACTTTAGTCGTCAAGTAATATGCCATATAAAAGGGCATAAAGTATATGTTTTCTGTTTCTTAATAATAAATAACTTACCTTTCAAACATTGCTTTTTTTTAAAGTAGTCGGAAGATTATGAGGTTTGTGTAATTTTTTACAGGTCGTACAAGAGACTGGTTTGGATGTACCACAGCGATATTGGGGTTCATACAGGCCTGGAGTTTACTTTGGTATGAAGAGTCGGGAACCCAAGTCACCTGTTTTTGGTCTCATGTGGTATGATTTAGCAGCTGTATCACATAAAGGAATCAGGTTACTCACTTTTTAATTTTATTAATCATTAAAGTACATATTTGTTATTAATATAAGTAATTTATAGAGAATACATAAATACATGAATTTCTTTTATGTTACAAAATGTTACTTTTATATTATTAGTGAAATAATGTTAATATGATATGAATTAATGTGTCCATAAAATAGCACCTTAAATTTAATTAATTAGTTTCATGGGGTCTGGATGTATATTTGGTTGAATAAAAAAAATTTAATAGAAATTTATAAAAGAATGTTGAACATGTTAACCTGAACCTTAAGAAGCAAAATAAATTGGTTTCAATATTTTTTATGCTCATACCAATTAATTGTTAACCTTTCTTTTATTGTCAAATTAGCAACCAATCATAATAATTATCTTTTTACTGGTAATATTCATAAAAAGTAGAATTTTTGCTACTTTTTATGAAATACACTATCGTATTTCAATTAATACTCAGGCATTGGTGTGACCAGAATGACAACCTGCCTTCTTATGGTTGGCTTCGTCATGACGGAATCTCATTCGGTGAGCAGTCCATATCGGACCCACCTCACACTATTGTCACTTCATTTGTGAAAACAACTGGTGGTGCTCATGGGGGTCATTGGACTGCAAGAATAAATATCACCGCACAGGTTTGTCAAATTCTTGTAATTGATATTTGAATCAGTGTTATGGCTATATTGCTAAAATCTGGAAATATTGCAGAGATTTTAAATGACATCAAACTATTTCTAAATGTCTGATTGTGTCAGATCACATAAAACATAATAAAACAACAGAATTAAGTTTTTGGTCTAAACAGGTATTAAAACAAGTTCCATATTAATTATACAGTCTGGGCTGTTCACAAACACTTGTGCAAACATATGTAACTTTGTTAATGGATAATGAGTATTTAATATGCATAATGAAGTCAAATAAAAATAGTTTTTGAGTTGTCTAGTGTTTTACAGGATCAGCAATTATATTGGAAATTCTATTTACTATCATCTCTCATTATAAGGCAATAACATAAACTTCAATTAATGAAATTAATAAAATACGAAATTCTAATTAGTCAGTCAGTTACATAATAGAAAAATATTAGATATGTTTTTTTTTGCTTCAATTCAAACAAGAAATGGCTGAGATCATAGACATTAAAATTTAGGAGTGGGGGCTAGCGAGCCAACACTCACTAAACTTCACAGTTTTCGTAGAAAATGTACAAATGCGTGACGTCATGCGACATTTCAACTCAATGTGTCGCGACATTTCAACAAAAAGAGAAAGCCGGAAAAAATCTCCTGGGTAACTTTTTTGTATCCAACTTGATGACCGGGGGCTGAAACCGCCCACCATTCCGCGGTGCAAGAGCTCTATGCCAGATATCCGGTTTCACCAATGCTATCCGGTTTTAGTGTAGCACTACTCTCCCTAGCTATCCACAAGTCGAGTGGGCCCGATGGTATCTCCCTATTTTGCTAAGGACGTGCGCTCCAGAGTTGGTATCGGTCTTAACGTGCCTATTCCGGCTCTCCTACTCATCTGGCGTCGTCCCAACCTCATGGAAGACTGCTTTAGTGCGTCCGATCCCAAAAAAAGGTGACCGCTCGAACCCGTCCAACTACAGGCCGATCACTATAACCCCTTTTCCTTCAAAGATAATGGAGTCTATTATCAACCGCCAGCTCCTTCGGTACTTAGAGGATCGCCAGTTGCTTAGTGACCATCAAATCGGATTTCGTAGTGGTCGCTCATCTGTATCTTCTAGTATACTTGACAAATAACTGGGCTAAGGCAATTGAAACAAAGGGGGAGGCCCTGGCAGTAAGTTTGGACATAGCGAAAGCGGTCGGGTGTGGCACAAAGCTCTTCTATCAAAATTTCCCTCGTATGGGCTTCCCGAGAAATTATTATGTGCATAGGGTCACTAGTTTTTTGGCAGACAGAAGCATTAATGTTTTAATCGACGGTGAATGCTCGGATCTACTGTCTATAAATGTTGGTGTTCCCCAAGGAAGTGTGCTATCACCTACACTTTTTCTATTGCATACTAATGACATGCTGCAAATTAGCGGTAGGTATTCATTGTTCTTCGTTAGAGGAAGTCTTAAGAGACTTCCTCTGAAGATTCAATACCAGTTAGCTGGGACTTAATTTGGTCCACTTCAACCCTACTAAGACACAGGTTTGCGCGTTCTCCGCCAAAAAAGCCCCATTTGTCGTATCACCTCGCTTTCAAAACATTCCCCTAACTGCCTCAGCCATATTGAGATTCTCTGTGTCGACATATCGAGCGAGGTCCATTCCGTGGTCACTTAGAGGATAAGGCTAAATTAGCATCTAAGAAGCTTGGTGTGCTTAATTAATTAATTAATAAATAATTTAATTAATTAATTAATAAATAATTTAATTAATTAATTAATAATTCCTTTATTTTTTGTACAAACACCAGTTACATAAATATTTGAGGCCCTGACTTCTAAGCTAGTTTTACCTGTATTATAGAAGCCAGTGTCTCCCCAATGACATTTCAATAATTAGATAGGTACTAAGTACAAACAAGTTGGAATATCATAAGGAATGTAAAAAAAAATATATGGTTACAAACTTTCGTGCATACTATGTGTGAGTTTTCGTGCATGTCTAGTAGTTTATTTAATAGATCGAGGCAGTATTTCACTCCGGCGCATCGCCTGCAACTTTACAAGGCGCAGGTTCGGCCCCATATGGATTGCTGTTCTCATCTTTAGGCAGGGACACCCTAATACCAGCTTCTCCCTCTAGACCGCATTCAGCGGAGAGCAATCGAATCGTCGATTGCCGGGACACTTCAAGTCAGCTTGATCCACTGGCCCTGCGTAGAGATGTTGCTTCACTGTGCATCTTCTATCGCATTTACTACGGGGAATGTTCCGAGGAATTGTTCGGACCCATAACTGCCGCTACTTTCCGCCATCGTTCCACGCGGTAAGAAATCCACGTCCATCATTTGTGCGTTTTTCTAGAAGTTTCCTGCCTCGCACAGCCAAACTCTGGAACAGTTTGTCACCAGCGGTATTTCCGGACCGATACGACCTTCAAACTTTCAAGCGTAGAGCATATTCGTCCCTCAAAGGCCGGCAGCGCGCTTGTAGCTCCTTTGGTGTTGCAGGTGTCCATGGGCGGCGGTAATCACTCACCATCAGGTGTTCCGTCTGCTCGTCTGCCTCCTACCCCATAAAAATATATATATATTTAGAAGTAATAATAGCACAAATTTGGATTTCAAAGGACATATTAAATTATTAACTCAAAAAGTAAGAAAGTAAACATACATTTTTCGTAATTTAAGTCGTTAATACCCTCCAATCCGCATTGGGCCAGCGTGGAGGGTCATGGCCCATCCTCCTTAACCATCCATAAGGAAAGCCTGAGCCCCTGCAGTGGGGACATAAAAAGGGCTGTTGATGATGATAATCATTGATGAACTAACCACATGCACGCTCCAAAGTCTTAATATGAAACTTATTGGAAAATTCTATTACTTTAAGGGTTATATTTGTATAATAACATAAATAGGCTATAGTAGCTAGCTGTGCTTCAGTGGCTAAATACCTTAAATTATGAAGAAACTGAAAAGCTTTTACAATAATAATGTTTGAAGAGTTAATACACATTTATATACTGCTCTTAAAAATTAATTATAAAAATAGTAATTCAATTATTATCTCTAAATATTATAGAGACAATGTTAGAATAGGGTATGAGTTACCTGCTGTAGTCATCATAACATCACTTTCCTGGAACGTTTGAAACACTCCATATCACTTGAGATTAACTGGCTCCAACACTAATTTAGTCTATCATGGAGGACATTAGAGGTACGATGGAGGCTTTGGCGGAAATGGTTCAGTCGCGTATGACCCTGTTTGAAGATGAACTGAGGAAAATACCTGCAACAAGAACTGAAACAGTGGCAACTTTGTCTGCGGACTTCAGTACATTTCGTACTTTTATCTTGGCCTCTATTGCTGCTCTACAAAGGCAAGTGGATATGTTGGCAGTGCAGCATGATTCTATGGAGATGAGGTATAGAAGGAAAATGATTCTCTTACATGGTGTCACTGAGCAACCAAATGAAGATTCTCCCAAAATAGCAGCGGATATCGTTCGTCAACACCTTTTGCCTCATATTCAGCCGGAGAATTTCAGTGAGGTCCACCGCATGGGAACAAATTCATCTCTCCGACCTCGACCAATTATCATCAAATTTAAAAGTTTGCAAGAACGTGATGAAGCTTGGTCAGCCAAAGTTGGATTGAAGGGGACTGGTATAACAGTGTCCGAGTTCTTGACCAAACGCAGGCACAAACTTTTCTTGGAATGCCGCGAGAGGTTTGGTCTGCACAGTTGTTGGACGCGTGGAGGTCGCATCATGGTCGTAGGCGCAGATACTAAGCGACACACCATCACTTGTCGAGCTGATCTAGACGGAATAGCTAAGTCTCATTTGGCACAATTCAAAAACACTGAGGCTGTGCCTTCTGCGAATGCACCTGCTGGTACTACAGGCTCATATGCTTCGCCTCCCCATAGTGCTAAACAGATGACTTCGAGGCGTCAAAGAACGGCGGTTCCTCCAAGAAGAAAGTAAGTGACGCCCAGTTAATATGTCACAGCTGTATCCATTATACTTGTACTTACACACATTTCGAGTTTTGGAGAATAATAGTGTTATATATTTATATTCATTGTGATTTTTGTGAGGCGAGATAGTGGGCGGGCGCATAAATATTTAATCTCTCACAACTCGGTCAGAATTCCGAACTACTGTAGGTAATTTTGTTTTTTTCATTTCTTGCACTTCTTATCAAGGTAGTTTAAATAATTGTTTTGTTTTTTACTCTCCAGTATAAATAATTGAAATATTGTTTTGTTGTTGACAATTGACTTTGACAGACACTGTCTATATTATATGGTTATTATTACTGTGAAGCAAAGGAATCTGACTCATACTGCCATGTCAAAATAATTATTAACCATACCTAAGTAAATACATATTGCTTCCGCTTTTATTTTTATTTTTATTATTACTATTTTTTTTTCTGCGCCCAGTCTCGCTTGATAGTTATCTTGTGATGTTTGTAATTCAATCTTGCTTCACTAATATTAGCTTACTAGTGTATTAAACAAATTTATATGTTAGGGTGACTACCTGTGGGTAATGGAAATGTATGCCATTTGAGTTAATTGTCTTTATTTTTTAGTTATAAGTATATATTTTAACTGAACTATATTATGAATATCTCCATAAATTCCGAGTTATTTCTTTCTTGTTCTTCTCAATCCAGTTTTGAGGATAGTTTGCTTAGTAATGAGTCAGTCTCCTTAGATATACTACTACATGATACTTTTTCTAATATCCCTAAAAACTTAAACATCGTTCACATCAATGCGCAAAGCATCCCCGCGCATTATACTGAGTTGCTCACATATTTAGATCACACTAATATACATGCGATCTTAGTCTCTGAGACTTGGCTACATCCGTCTGTTCCTTCTTCTTGTTACTCGTTTCCGGGATTTCATCTCATCCGCAGTGATCGTGGTAGCTCTTCTCATGGAGGGGTAGCCATTTATCTCCGCACATACTTTTCTTTTTCGATTCTAAGTCAATCGTCACAGCCTCCACCACAAGATGCTACAGAACATCTCATTATTGAGATTAATCTAAATCATAATAAAGTCCTTCTTGGTGTTGTCTACTGCCCCTCTTCCAAAATCGATTTCTTTCACTCTTTTGAGCTTCTTCTTGAAGATCTGATCCCTAATTATGATCATTCCATCATCATGGGCGACTTCAACACCTGTCTGCTAAAAAATGATTCCCGAAGTGTAAGGTTATGTAATGTAGTTAATTCATGCAATATGCATATTCTTCCTCTTTCGGCGACGCATAAATTTCCAAACTGTACTCCCTCTCTGCTTGACCTTATCATGGTGTCATCGCCGGGTCATGTTGTAAAATATGGTCAATTAACAGCCGACCAGTTTTCTTACCATGATTTGATTTATCTGTCCTATCGAATACGTCCTCCTAAACGCAAAGCGTCGATTCAACTGTTGCGTAACTTCTATGGAATGGATATTGACCGCCTCCGAGAAGATGCTCTTAAAGTCGATTGGTCGGCAATTGATAGACTTGAGACGATTAACGAACAGGTGGAGTTATTTAACTCGTTGCTTATCCATCTCATGGATAATCATGCTCCCGTTCGACCTGTACGTGTTAAGCATGTTCCTGCTCCTTGGCTTACAGAGGAGGTACGCAAGATAATTGACAGAAAGGTACGTGCCAAATCTAAATTTAAAAAAAACCCGTCAGATGCAAATCGCGATCGTTATAGGGAAATCAGAAATCACTGCAATACATTGATAAGGGATAAACAAAGACGCCATATTCATGCTTCCGTTGAAAACGGTGATCCCGCCAAAGTTTGGCGATTTCTAAATAAGCTTGGTATTGGAAAAAATAAATGTAATCCCACTCTACCACCAAATACTAATATTAATGCCTTGAATACATTCTTCTCCTCGTCTGCTTCTATGGACGGAAGCATCAAAACTCATACTTTAAATACTCTTTCTTCTATGCCAACACCGTCATTTGCTCCTTTTGTCATTGAACCATTTACCGAGTGTGACATTGAGAAGAATATACTTGCTATATTGTCCAATGCGATCGGTAGCGATTGCATTAGTCGTAATATGATAATTCCTCTTCTAGATATCCTAACTCCTGTAATTACCAACATCCTCAACAAATCTATCTTGACGTCTTTTTACCCCTCTGCATGGAAGGATGCAAATATAGTGCCTGTGCCTAAGAAACCTAAGCCTGATTGCTTTTCCGATTACCGGCCTATATCCATATTGCCTTTCCTTTCCAAAGTCCTTGAAAAGCTAGTTTATCAACAGTTTAGTAAATTCCTTTCCTTGAACAACCTTCTGAATCCATTTCAATCTGGTTTCCGTCCCGGTCATAGTACGACTACTGCACTTGTCAAGATTGCTGATGATATTCGCGCAGGAATGGAAAATCGGCAGCTCACCATACTGACGTTGTTAGATTTCACTAATGCATTCAACACTGTTGATTTCGAAATTTTGCTAGCAACGCTGGTTTCTCTCAATGTATCTCCACAGGTGATTGGTTGGTTTCGTAGTTACCTGTATGGGCGACGGCAACGCATATGTGTAGGAGATATTCTCTCAGATTGGTGCGTTACAACAGCCGGAGTTCCACAGGGTGGCGTTTTGTCTCCGCTTCTATTCTCTATTTTCATTAATTCAATAGCCCTCCCTCTATCTTCTTCCTATCACATGTATGCAGATGATTTCCAAATTTATAGCCAATGTGCGTTGGAAGAAATACCCACTGCAATTACCATTATTAACAATGATCTTGAACATATATCTGATTGGAGTCGGCGTCATGGTCTGTTAGTCAATCCTCTAAAATCTCAAGCGATCATCATTGGAAGTCATTGGTATCAGGCTAGGTTAAATTATGATACACTGCCACCTATCTTAATAAACGGCAATCGTATACCTTTCACTCAGTCTGTAAAAAATCTTGGTGTCATATTTGATTGCAATATGTCTTGGAGCCTTCATGTCCGAGAGGTTAGTAGGAGGGTATTTGGTGCATATAGCTCACTTAAGCGACTTAGGAATCTTTTGCCGACTAAGACTAAAATCACTCTTGCTCAGTCACTTCTTCTCCCTTTGCTTGACTACGCTGATTCATGTTATACAGACCTAAGTGTCGTTTTCCTAAATAAACTTGAGCGACTGCAGAATTTGTGTATCCGTTTTGTCTTTGGTCTACGTAAGTATGATCATATTTCTGATTATCGTACCCAACTTCAGTGGCTACCTATCTCTCGTAGAAGAGACTGTCATATCCTATCACTCCTATATTCCATCCTGTTTCACCCACACACACCGCATTACCTCAAAGAGCGCTTCGTCTTTCACTCTACGAATCTTACCCGAGATCTGCGGTCTTCCTATAATTTATCTTTAGTCATGCCTTCCCACAATACTGATTTCGTAGCCAAGTCATTTACAGTTAAAGCAATCAAACTATGGAACTCTCTGCCTATAGATATCAGACGCGCGCAATCACGGAACTCATTCAATAAATTGATAAAAGAATATTTCCTCAATCTGGACTATTCCTCTTGAACTTCCAATCTATTACTTTACTATCGTAAGTTTTATTTATATATTTGCACTTTATACGTTCTCGTGTGTTGTTTCCCCTATTGCACTAACCCGCAGTTAATTTTTCTTTATTGGTATCATTTCCTTTAGCCTAGGGTCGCCTGGTAGAGATTGCTACCTTAGCAATAAGGCCGCCTTTTGTGTTACTGAATCTAGTTTTATGTACCTTTCTTACTGTATTTCATAGTGCAATAAAGAATATTCAATCAATTATGAAAATCCTATTGGAGCAAACAGATTATGCCCCCAATAGCCCCCCAGCTACCTAGCAGTCGTCCCAGAATACGAACTGCCTATTTGTTAATGGACAATGGGAATTATTTTATCACAACTATAATTTTATAACGCCATAAAAAAAAAATACGTTAATAAAGTAATAGAATTATTAATTACTTTAGTGAATCTAATATTTTTCAGAATAATGCTAACAGTCACTTCATGTTGATATGGTATGGAGCCCTGGATGAATCTCTAGGACCTGAGTCTTCCCGTCTGTGGGTGGAGGGGGGAGCCTTAATGGGGCACACGCCGCAGTTGGACCACTTCAGGGTCACTCTGGTACCGCAAAAAGGTAGTTTGTCTGTTTAACACAAATTATATTGATGTCGCAGTGGTGAGCGCATCGGGCTTGTGGTGCTGAGATATAGCAAAGGAAATAATGTAGAAAGCGGCATAGAATGGTAGGCCAAAACTTAATTATCTGGAGCCCCGCTAGATGAACGCATTACTCACGAATTCAAACAAGGCCTGGGCCTTTATTCGCTGTCACCACTTATCGATTATTTGCTTCGAAACCGTATTAGCGATGCGAGTCAAGTAGGATTTTGTAATTCGAGTGACTAGAGTCGACAAACTAATAATCGAGTAAAAAAATTCAAACGCGCTTCTCGAGTGAGATTTCTCTTAGTAATTTTAGACAAATACATACATACATAATATAAATGAAATGCACATTAAGAGAGTAAAAAATCTGATTAAAAATAAGAAATTCTATTATTAGCTATTCATACTTCTTCATCCAAAGGTTGTCTGGTAGAAATCGTTGTTAGCGATAAGACCGCCATAACACTATCGTGTTATAATCTAAATATATATAACTCAAAGGTGACCGACCGACATAATAATCTATCAACGTACAGCTCAAACCACTCGATGGATCAGGCTGAAATTTGGCATACAGGTAGATATTATGACGTAGGCATCCGCTAAGAAAGGATTTTGATCACTTCTACCACCAAGGGGATAAAACTTTGTATGACACTTTGTCAATTTTAAACCGATCGGGCTGAGACTTTGCATGCATAAAGCTACTATGACGTAGGCATCCCCTAAGAAAGGATTTTGATAAATTCCACCCCTAAGGGGATAAAATAGGGGATGAAACTTTATTTCAGGTTTTTTTACACGAATTAATATTTGTTATATTGAATAAATATTCGTTAGAAATACTGCTTAGAGTAACTTTACTACGCGGACGAAGTCACTGGCATAAGCTTGTTAATTTATAAATTTCATGTTAAAAACTTTAACTGTTAAAAATGGTGTGTCAATAAAGAAATTTCATGTTAAAAACTTTAACTGTTAAAAATGGTGTGTCAATAAAGTATTATTATTAGACCGTCAATCAGACAATATTAGATAAGTATTTTTTTGTAGAAAATGTACGAAAACGTGACGTTATGTGACACTTCAATCAGTGGCGGGCAATCAGGCACGTAACACACGCTAATAAAGAATTTTGGACGATTCAAAAGTACTTTTAAGAAGTCTATTTGAATAAAGATTATTTTGACTTGACTTGACTTGACTTGCCGTCAGAGTATAACCGCCATTATATACCTATGGATACAATAAAGATATTAAGTATTAAACTCATAATTACTTTATTATTTTCCTGACAGGAAAGATAATACATTCTGCGTACTCGGAGGCTCACGCGCCAGGCCTCCATGTGTTGAAGGAGAAATTCTATTCCTTGTTGAAGGTACAGAAGCATCCGGGCTTCGGTCGCGTAGCAGTTGTTGGACCTGACGAAGAACTGGATGGAAAGGTTTATTATTATTATAAAAAAAGTTGTAGTTTTGTTTTTAATTCATAATTTCCATAATGCACAAAGTCAAATCTTGAATCGATTTTAGTTATATTTAGATATATATTTAGTATAGTTAGATACAACTAATATTATTAGCCCTGTTACGTTCCCATTGCAGGGGCTCAGGTCTTCCTAATGGATGGTTAAGGAGCCATGACCTTCCATGCTGATCCAATGTGGATTGGAGAGGTTTAACGTCTGCAAATGTAGCCGGGACCAACGGCTTAACGTGACTTCCGAAGCACGGAGTAGCTAGAGATAATAATATTTTGATCACCCATCCCGTGGCCGACCCTTGCGGAAGTTCAACAATCGCGAATCGCGGCATTTATCCACTTCGCCACCGAGCTAAATATGCCTCACTGAAAATAAATACCTGCGCAGAAGACTAAATTTCGTACTGTAGCAAATGTTAACCAATCAGATGATTCAAATCGCCCGCCATCACACATGAAGCACCTGACTCGTGTCGAGTGTGAGTGAGACGGACTACCGATACGTTGTATTTTACTTATTGAAACAAGACTCATTATTATATTTTAACGGGTGAACATAGGCTATACTTTATACCGAAAAAAGAGCAAATAAAGGTATGAAAATGGGAGGAAGTTTGTGTAAGGAATTAAACCGTTACCATAGTAACCATTGTTTACTATTAAATGTTTCATTGTAATTATCAAAAATAAAACTCTAACATCAACATTTAAAACCAAGTGATAGTAATTTGACATTTTTTTATAGTCAGACGTTTGTTTTCAAGGTTTCATACTCAATAGGGTTTATTACTAGGACTCCGTCCGTCTGTACATCTGTCTCCAGGCTGAATCTCATGGACCGAGATAGCAAGACAGTTGAAATTTTCACAGATTAAAAAAGTTACCGCTTATAACAACAAATACTAAAATCAAAATAGAATAAACATGATATTTTTGTCTTTCTTTATAGCACGTATATAGCTTCCGTGCGCGGGTTCGATTCGCATTTGGTCCGTTTTTTCGTCTGCGTCACATTTTTTTTTGTACTTACCAGGACAAGGAAGTGAATTTTGTTCCGATCCAACTATTGGTGGAGACTCCGTTCGTTTTAGACGTGGTGTATACAACGGAGGATCTACCTACTCCTCCGCTGCAAGGTCATGATTATCAGAAAGCATTGGATGAAAAGAAGAAAATGTTCGATGATAAATTTGAGAATACATTTAAACTACTTGAGAAGGGGTGAGTCTAATAGTCCGTATGCATTCTAAAGCATCTTATTTTTTATTTTTTGTCCTCTTTCTTGTGACTTCTTCTCAGTAGAAGGCACGTTCCAAAGTCACGTGAAATTATGTGATATAGTGTCAAATATTTGATACAACAAAAACGTGCCTTTAGACCATTATTTCTCTCGACATTTATGTTAGCTTTAATAAAACACAATGATTGGCTACGCCAATCGCGTTTGAGTAATTGTGATTGGCCCGGCCAATTTTTATTTAAAGAGGTTTTATGATGGTCTTCGCATTTTAGAAATATCCTATAAAAAAGTGTTAAAAGTCATCTTGAATCAAGAAAACGATGGTTAATCCAGCATGCCATTTAATTGTACTTTCATACTAAGCCTAGTTATAGTGATGGACCCTACTATATTATTTTTCGATATAAATCGGTCAATTTTACTTTATTTCACAAGACATCAACTTAATTAATGACATAAATACCTCTTTTACTGTAACTAAACACAATACAATAAGAAACAAAGCTGAATAAACTTATCCAGTCTTAACAAATTTCTTTCAAAATTCACAGCAACTACAATACGTTTAAGACACACGAAAGAAAATATATTTTTTTATAAAATGTTTGTAGAGACGAATTTAAACTGCTACTTAATTTATTATTATTTTTTCATTAAATCGGGGCTCCAATTGTCTAATTTAAATATCTATTGCAATCCCTTTCGAAGGTACAGATATTGTGAGTATGATTTACGAAAGAATGTAACGTTTAACGTTGCAATCGCTTTTGGAGCGAATGATAATCTGAATAGAAACTTTGTTACCAAACAGTTGAAACCGTCCAGATTGGAGTGAGCATTTAACTCGTTTAGTTTGACATTTCTCAATAGCTTTCAAAGATATTTGCGTCGTAAGGGATTGCTATAGACGCATTTATTGAAGAAAAAAACAACAATATATATTTTTTTTTAATTAAAGTTTGACAAAATTATCGATAGGATTTTTCTAAACGCACCGACATTATGATCAGCTGCTTCGGTTCATTGACTTCTAAATCAAAGACCATTACTTTTCCAGACTGGTTATGTCTATGGGTTTTTAGTGCCTACGTCACAGTACAGCGAAATAAAAAAATTAACCTTTTTAATTAAAATTAAAACCTAATGCAAAGCTTTCTAATAAAGAATTTTGATTTAGTTATCCGGAAGAAGATGTGTCAATAGCCAAAGCGGCATTCTCCAACATGTTGGGGGGTGTTGGTTACTTCTATGGTGCGGGACGCGTCCAATCTCAGTACACTAGGGAACCTGTACCGTATTGGCGCGCGCCTTTATACACCGCCGTGCCGAGCAGGCGAGTATACCCTTATATGTATAGAAATAGTGTTGGTATTCCTGTGTATTTTTTGTTCTTGGAGTCTGCCAAGTGTCGAAATTATACACCTATTATTATTATATTTGATAAATTTTGATTCTCAATGTTATACTGGAAATAGCATAGCAATTAGAACAAATTTTAAAATATTTGTCAATATATTTCTTTCGGCTATTTGGATGGATTGCCTGAATATTGATGAAAAATACGCTCTATAGTAGCGAAAAAGTAATAAGTGCTTGAAAATTCGTCTGCCCTGTTAGGTCTTGGGTAGCTCAGTGGTTAGAGCAGTCGCTCAGATTGCGTAAGCTCTTGGGTTCGAATACCATCTTAGAGAACCATCACCTTCAATATCACCTTCATTTCAAAACCATAAGGAAGGTAATCGTGTGTATGTTTTGGAAATTCACAGTTTAAATTCAGCGGATGCTGTAACTTTGTTCGAGACATTTTTTTTAATATGTTTGTTTTTTTTTTTAATTGAAGGATTAACCCATATATGCCTTTTGATTAGAAAATTAACAATACTAATATGCCCAGAACTATGACGTCTTTCGAAGCTTATGAATTATAGAATGTTTGGGCTAATAGATTATTTGTGGCCTCCGAAACAAAGTCAGAAGTATTTATTCATTATCGTAGGCATTTTAGGGTTAATATTTGGTATCCATCACCAACAGGTCTTTCTTTCCACGAGGGTTCCTATGGGATGAGGGTTTCCATGGGTTACTCATTGGTCGCTGGTCAGTTGACATTCAGATGGATATCATAGCTCACTGGCTGGACTTGATCAACGTGGAGGGCTGGATACCTAGAGAACAAATATTGGGTGAGTTTTATTTAGATTGTGCGACAATATTCTTCTCCGATATTTTTTATTTAGGTTTACCTACAATCCGGGCGACTGCTCTAACCGTTGAGCTACCCAGGACCTAACAGGACTGACGAATCAGGTTCAGGTATCTAGTATCAAGTTCGGGTAGATACCTGAACATTGATGAGAATACGCTCTGTAGTAGCGAAAAGTAACAAGTGCTTGAAAGATTCGTCAGTCCTGTTAAGTCCTGGGTGGCTCAGTGGTTAGAGCAGTCGCCCGGATGGCGAAAGGTCGTGGGTTCGATTCCCATCTCAGGGTGCCAAGTGGATTTTTTAAGCATTCTGTATTAAGAATAATTTTCAGTATGACAAAGTGAATGCAGAATTAATAAAATATAAGGTTTACCTACAGTTGTTACAATAGTACGTACATAAAATTCGAAAACATTGAAGGGTCTTATTCTAATGGTGCAACTTAAAGATAAACACAACATGCATAAAATAATTTTCCAGTATCCATTTAGGTTCTGTTAACAAAATAAAAAAAAAACACGTTTAATATACTTTTCGGTGTCAATTAATTGTTTGTTGAGTAGTCTATGGATAATTGCAACCGATTTCTCAGCCATTTTACGAGATTAGCAGTGAGGAATTTTAAAAGTAATTTTCGACAATTATAATCGGTCTGGACTATCTATTATAGCTTGAAGTAATTGATATCTAATCTCTGTTCAAACAAGTTTTAACCTTGTGAAACTGCGTTTTCGATGTAGAGGTATTTAAAAAAAACGAAAGCACTAAAAAAGCACTTCTACTATGTGGCGACTCTAGCAAAAGTTGATTTTTGCAGCAAACGAATGGACCAAAGACAGTCCTTTCCGTTCCTTTTAACTAACATATTATAAACTGAAATTTGAAAAGTTCGAAACTTAGATATCAATACAAAAACGAAAAAGTACAAATAGAATATGAGTTGTTTATTGAGTTTTGAAAACTAATTTACTTTTAAACATGAAAGAAAACCGGAAAGGTGGTCATGAAGAAATCAAGAACGTACTGTAGCGACATCTAGTTAGATTTCTGGAACTATTTTTTTTTAAACACTTCCTCATTCTGTGAATGACTAACGAATGGCCGATTCTGAATTGAGAATAGAAAATCTCAACTGATTATTCTCAATAGCTTAAGTTTTTCACGTTTCACAAGGCAAATATTGTTACAGAGCTACTTATAAACAAGGTTTAGCGTCAGAGTAAATTTACGCTAAAATTGCAATTTTAGTACGAGTCCATATTCATATTACACAGAGAATAATCAAATCTACTACCTTCTAGGAGCAAATTGTTACTCCCGTAGAACCTCGTACTAACCTTTAATCTTTGTTAAGTCTCTGTTTAATAATATGAATTTTGACGAATACGAAGAGCAGTCTCAGCGTTAATTTACTCCAACGCTAATCCTTTTTTGTAAGTAGCACTGTAATCGGAAACGAAAACCTGTTTAAGTGAATTTAAGTACAACTTGAGACGTCCTTAATTTTAAATACTTAATTCAGAAACTGGGTGCAAAATAACATGCAAACTTAATAATATATTTTAGCATATATTAGTATAATATTTATTTTTTAATTAATATTTTTAATTAGATTAAGACAGCGATAAACAGAATCGGCATCTTTGTTACACTATATTAACATGTCGGGTAGAAATTAAAAGAAATATACCGTCAACAAAAAGTACGACAGTCAAAATTTTTCACATAATTTTAATTTTAAGCCTTAATACAAGGAGGGTAGGGTTATTATGCAACAGTGGAAATTTGACATATTTTGGTAATCTTACGTGCAACCTTCTGTACAGTAATAACAATAAAAATAGGCGAATGTTTATTTTAACCAAATAAGTAATTTATGTATAATAGTTGGTTTTAAAGTAAGTAATACGATACGTTGGGGAGTGGGAAAGCTGTGCAGTCTATTCGTACCCTAGTAACATTTACGAATGATAAGTCATACGAGTCATACGAGGTTTCAACATTTAGATATTTAATATTTCATTTGGTCTTGCAATATTTAAAATTTTGAAATCACTAGTATATATCATCATCAGCCCTTTTGTGCCCTCAATGCAGGGGGGCTTTCCTTAAGGATGGTTAAGAAGATTGCCCATGACCCTCCACGCTGGCCAAATGAATGGTTTGCAGGGTATTACCGACTCCAAGTACAGCCGGGATTAACGGCTTAACACAGAGTAGCTCGACATTACAATTTTTGGGGCACCCATCCCGTGACTGACCCTTGCGAAAGTTGCTTAACAACAACGATCGCGGGCCGCAGCGCTTATCCACTACGCCACCGAGCTACTCACATAATATTTCTTACTACAGGAACGGAAGCTTTGGCTAGGGTTCCCAAAGAGTTTGTTGTGCAGAGTAACTCAGCGGCCAACCCACCGATGTTACTTATACAGCTGGCGGGAATGATCAGAAGGAACCCGGAACTGTTCGCGCCAGATACCACGCACAGGAGGACGCTGGAACGAATGTATAACAGGTTGAAGGTAATAAGGGAATATCAATCTACGTTTCGTAGAGAAATCCATTAAAATACAATACAAAACATATACACATACTCGTCGAACATAGAAGTCGGTTAAAATCAAATACAATATAAACTTAAATTAGAACTACTTTGATTTGTCCCAACACTGCTTACACTAGATTTCCCAAGTAGTAGCAAAAAGTAACGACGGCCATAAGTTATTCATTGGTTCACTAATAATTATGGCAACACACTCATATTTATTGAAATATGACGTCGCAGCTCGAAATGACACGTGACCAATTGTTTTCGCGGAACAATATAAAATATTGTATAAAAATATGTTCTTCCTTTATTTATTATAACTTTTTTAAGAAAAATAAATTTGACAGTGGTTTAATATGACGTCGTGAAAGTTTTAAAACACTTTTGCCAAAATAGTCAAATAACCAATTATGATAATGATCAATCATATTGTAAATATTTCTTTTAATTACGCTGATTATACATTAAATAATAAAGGAAAATTCAAATATTTTTTTTATATTGTTTGTAGGCATGGTACAATTGGTTTCAAACTACACAAAAAGGTGAGGAGCCTACATCGTACAGGTGGCGAGGAAGAGATGATGATGAGCTACAATTAAATCCTAAAACATTGACATCTGGACTGGACGACTACCCGAGGTACTGTGTCGTTTGATGAAAAATTATTTTGATAAAATAACAGACATTAGGTATATTTATCTTCACATCTATACAAATAAATAAAATTGAAGTGTCTGATTGTAAAATTAACCTTTTTTTAATAAATGCGTGTGTATGAATACACGGTACATATACCAAAATAACATATTTTACATTTTTTGTCTGTTTCTTCAAGCATATCTCTGAAACGGCTGGACCGATTTTGACGGGACTTTCACTGGCAGATAGCTTATGTAATAATAAGTAACTTAGAAATCGCGGACACAAATAGTTTTTAATAAAATCACTTACATATATACTACACACACAGTTATGCCGTTCTAGCCTAGGGTGATGCAGTGGGTACTATACTGGGGACTCACCTGCTCGAGGGGTAATCCATGATAAGGGTCATGCCTATATGGATCCTCCCAACTGGACGGGTAAGGACTGGAAATGTACAGTCTTTATGCCGTTAGTACACCGACGCAATCGCATGCGAATGGGAAACAGCGAAATCTTGTCAGTTGTATGGCAATATTTCGCATGTGCTTTCTCTAGCTCTATGACATAGGGTATGTTCCGATATACACTGCGAGCACTGCGCAGTGGTCTTACTGCTGAAAAATCCGTTTCGTTATGGACTGCCAGTACACTGCTACAGTAACCTAGGGAAATTTATGACGTCATAAATTGCCGCCATATTTGTACTGTGAGCACTGGAGATTTCGAGGTAAGGTGCTTGTAGTGCTTTTGATCACGTGATCAGTCGAAACAGAATCAGAAAATGACAAGTTTCTAAATAAACAAAAAAAAAAATACTTACGTTTATTTATAAGATGGATTTAATTAATAGATAATTTTTTTATACAATTTTCCAATTTTCTTTTGAAAAGAGGGAATCTTTATATTTATATTCACCTTGCATTAACAAATTTGAAAATGGCGCCAAAAATAGGATTAACAGTATACTGGACTGCGTTCCGTTTTAAAAAGTCACCAGTATAACTAGCTATAAAGGAACGGGCTTCCAGTATACTAAATTGACGTCATACTGTTCAGTGGTCGCAGTGTATATCGGAACATACCCATAGATGCATCCTTGTCAGTACGGTTTTGCAGTTAACTGCGATTAACGTCGTTACACAGACGGACATGTTTCGCATTCAGGGTTGCCACCAGTCCCGATTTCTGATGACTATCCGAATGTTGAATTTTGTTTCTCCAAAGGATGACAACCCTGTTTGCATTCGCATATTATGTCTCATATGTCTTTGAGACGTACACTCTAGCTGCAGAGGGACCCGCCCTGCAAGACGTTAACATAACACCTAAGGGCTAATTATTTATATTCTATTGGTCCTCGAACGAAAATAAATACATATAATTTTTTTCTGGTATGTTTAATATACATTAGTATAATATATCGGTATTAACCGATAATCTCATTTTCAAGCTTATGATAATTATAATATTGCTTAAATTAATTATGAAAAAAGAAATATATTACGCTCGTTGTCACGTGACCACAAACAGCGCGTGACGTCACGCCCTTCTTACTCATATCAGAACTTAGAGAATTCAACCTTATGCATACATAGAACGATATTCGTTTCAAAATGCCGTTTCAAAATTTTGAAAATTTATTTATATATTTGTTACTTATTATATTAATGATATTTTTTTAAATATTCTTTTTAGATATATTTTATTAATTAAAAATTTTAAAAAGTTGTTTACACCCCTATTTCAAATCATCCTTAATTTTGTTTAAATCATATCCATGAAGATTATCTGTGAATCAGAAGCAGTGCCTGGTCCTACCTTCGTTGCATCATAAATTATCGAAAAATTGGTATCTTTAGAGTCATATTAGCATTTTGAAAAAAATCGTATTTTCGGGTTTCATATTTTCATATTATTAATAACAGCAGTATTTTGATATCTGAGCAATACATGTGATGGTATGCAATATTTATTAAGAGTTGTTTTCCCGCAACTTGGCCACCGTAAATTATAGCTTATTGTTGCCCGCGTATGATGTAGAATCCCGTTGGTGAAAAAATTTAAAAAAAGTTATAATCTATATCTTTAATAGTTCTAATATCCTGTACTTTAGAAGCCTATTTTATATAATATAAATAATGGTATAGATTTATACATATTTTCTTTATAATACTAGTAATGATAGTCTACAAGTATGTGAAATGGTATCGTTTTGTTGCAGAGCTTCGCATCCTTCAGACATAGAGAGACATGTCGATCTTCGTTGTTGGATGTATGCAGCCGCCGATAGTCTTTCACTAATAGCGACCACCATCGGGAAGGATCCTGACAAGTGAGTATATCTCGAACCGGTTTATGATCCGGTTAAATTTTAACCGGTATTGTACTGTAACGGTGCATCGTACCACATCGTTTATTTTGTCCCAGGTTCGCGGATCAAAGTTTGTATGCTTTATAAAGATTGTTTCTGATCTCTAAGACCATTTCTGTTTTATCATTCTCTTTTCGTGATTTGAAATTTTTTGAAACACGATATGCTCTTTCTGTCTGTCAGTTCGTAAAAAAATTCTTCCAACAGCAACACGTTTGTTATTGAAAATGAATACAATATTTTAAATTATTTATGTAATAGAAAGTCTCAAGTAAAAAGTGAATTAAGTATTTATGAAACTCAGATCTATCTTCGAAGGAAAACCCAGAAAAGCTTAGTCAGCCTTTTCACTTAACTATCAACATTTAAGCTAGCCCGGATCCGTTACAGTACAGTAGTTTTTGACGATATACTTATGTATAAAAGTAACAACGAAAACGGAATTATAAATGTGAAAAAAATATAATAAATGTATTTGCCATGCCTTTTTCGATGTTTTTTTTTTTGGATAAAGAAAAATGTGTACATATTTATTTTTAGTGGTATTATGTTGTCCTAGATTCGATGCCGTACGCGCTGAACTTTCCGACGAAGATCTTCTGAATGAGTTACATTGGTCACCTCATACTCGCACGTATGCTGATTATGGTAAAGTACTTATTCATTTGGCGTAAAACTCTAGCTGCCATTTCATTATAATTATTCCTACACTCTTTATTATGCATTATCTCGTTACCTTAGCTTAGATAGGGGTTTAAATCTACTGCTTTAAAAAGTTTAAACTTATTTCAAAAACTACTTATTTTTTCTTATTTACAAAAGTCTACTTATTTTAAAAAGTTTATTATAAGGTATCTGATTATATAACAGATAATATAGGTGATTTCTTCTTAATTATCTCAAAATTATCGTGTTGCCTATTATATTATTGAAGAACCACAGTTTTTTTGAAGTGACTTCATATATTTATAATGTACTAGCTTTCACCAGCGGCTTCGTTCGCGTGGACCCTAGGGAAATGTTTAGTGGGATAAAAAGATCCTATTATCAAAGTCAGCTAACACCCTATCTGTATACCAAATTTCATCAAAATCCGTTCAGCAGTTTCGGCGTGATTGACGTACAAACATCTAAACATCCAAACAAAGAAACTTTCACATTTATAATATTAATAGGATAAATCTGGTAATGACATGGTTTTTGCGAATGTCGTTACTTCTATTAGGGCTAGTGAATTTCTTGCTCGTTCTTATAAGTTAAACAACGTCCTGTAGGCCAATTCTGATAATCTTTACGTAATAATAGCATCTCAATAGAATCTCTACTGCTATCCTTTTTGCTATTGTACTATCTAACTGAAGTCACACACCGATGGTGAAAGTTATATAAATAATAATACTTGATTTTACGCTGAACGAGTGGAATTCATAAGTGCTTGGAGCAATTATATTTGAATAAACATATTTTGATTTTGACGTGTCTTTTGTCTTGTCTGCGCATATAAGAAAAAGATATTATAGCATTAAATTATACATTCATTCACTTGTCATTCGTTGTATAGGTCTTCATACAGACGGTGCACGTCTCGTTAAAGTTAATCCTAAGCACCCCAACGAGAGCCCTAAGATGGTACGCGTCGTTACTTCACCACCCCAACCTAGACTTGTCACGTCCGCGTTCGGTGAGTCATTTTAGAACTGATTGTTTTTTTTTTATACCAACTTCCGTAGCTTAAAAAGAAATGAGCTGAATTTCAGTTGCATATACATCTACAGTGGTCACTCCACCTTATTTAAAGGCGAATCATCATCATTAGCCCTAATACTGTCCCACTGCAGGGGCTCAGGCCTTCCTTAGGGATGGTTAAGGATGATGGACCATGACCCTCCACGCTGGCCCAATGCGGCTTGGAGGGTATTAACTTCAAATGCATCCGGGACTAACAGCTTAATGTGCGTTCAAAAGCACGGAGTTAATAATTTTTTGGTCACCCATCCTGTGACCGATCCTTGCGAAAGTTGCTTAACGACAGCGATCGAAGGCTGCGGCGCTTATCCACTACGAAAGGCAAATAAATTATTTCAGTGAAAGATTATCAGTCACAACATAATGGATGTGATCTGATAGAAAGTTAGTACATATAGTAAGCTGGTGCCCTATGAAGGGGAGAAGGGGGGGGGGGGGGTTAAATATTTTTATCATTCTATAAGTAATTTTTATGCGTTAATTAGTAAATGGTAATATGAAAACAAAAGGGCTTAAGAAAATCTCAAATATATGTCACATACAAATTTAAACTACCATTTTAATATTAAGCATTAAGGGAATACTTGTAGGTATGTGGAATATTCACCTGTCCATATTTATATTATTTATAGGTTATGTCTCATTATTCCCGATGCTGTTGAAAGTGCTTAAGCCGAAGAGCGAGAATTTGGGTAAAATCCTGGAAGACCTGGACAAGCCGGGACTTCTGTGGTCTCCTTATGGATTGAGGCGAGTTATTCATTAAGTTATAAGTTTTAAGGCTACACAGGAGACAGAGAGAACGAGAGAGCGGCACGGCAACAGTGATTTCCATCGACATACTAAACAAAATTTTAAAATTTGTTAAATATTTAAATTTTTAAAACATCTATATACTAATATTATAAAGAGGAAAGATTTGATTGTATGTTTGTTTGCAACGAATAGTCTCCGAAACTACTGGAACGATTTTAAAAATTCTTTCACCTATGAAAGCTAAGCTAAGCTACATTATATGCGGTGACCATATGATTTATTTTACCCCGAAAAACATCATATAAAGGGATGAAAATGTGAGCGAAGTTTTTGTATAGGGAATTAAACCGTTACCACAGTAACCATTGTTTATTTACCATTCAATTTGTCATTGTAATTATATTCGCGTCATGATATGAATCGATATCCAAACAAATAGTTCCTTAGGGACCACGCGGGCGAAGCCGCTGACGGCAAGCTAGTTAACGTCTAAAACTGTAGTAAATAGGTACAAAAAAACAACATTAATATATACCTACCTTTAACTTCGCAAGTTTTACCGCAACATCTAAGAAAACGACTGCTGTCTTATATATTTTAATATATATTGTATATTTACAAAATATTATAAACAATTCGATATTTTTATTTTGGTCATATTTGCACGAACAGGTCTTTGTCAAAATCTTCGCCTTTATACATGAAACGTAATACGGAACACGACCCACCATACTGGCGGGGCCAGGTGTGGGCCAACGTGAACTATCTGGCGTTGTCCGCTCTCAAACACTACGCCTCCTCATTGGGCCCACACTCGGCCCGTGCTGCGGAGCTCCACTCGAGACTTCGAGCCAATTTCGTTCGTAAGTACTCGACTACTAATACACGTGTAGACAGTAAACGAAAATAAATACAGTTTTTTTTCTGGTAGTGTTTATAATAATTACTATACTTTGATGAGTGAAATAAAGACTATGTTTTTCTGTAAAGACAAAAAATTTAATCAGTACCTAATCCTAATCAGTTTTACATGTTTTCCACTTTTTTTTAAAATTAAATAAGCAATTTACGCACTTGTAGAGACAAAAACCAACAACATTAAAACCTTTATATCTGGTACTTCTTTCACTGCAATTTAATTTTTTTATTGTCTATCTTCTACATTAATTTTCCTAATAGGGATGACGAATGGGTAAAAAAAAATGCAATTTTATTTAGTCCGTCAGTCAGATAATAGAAAAATACTAAATACGTATTTTTTTTTTACTTTAACAAGAAATAGGTTCGATAACAGTTGGCATTAAAGTTGAGAAGTGGGGGCTCGCTACGTCACAGTTTAGTAGAAAACGTACCATAACGTGACGTCATGCGAAATTTCAATTCCATGTATCGCCGTAATTTTATGATTACGAAAAAAATAAAAAAATACGTGTTTAATATTTTTAATACTCACCCTGACGGACAAACAAACAAAAATAAGTCGTCATCCCTATTACAAGTAAATTTCAAATACGACATTCATATATCAATTTTGTTATGGATGGCTAAGGAGTTTTTAACCAATAGACGAGAATTTGAATGAAGTAAGAACTGTTTATAGCTTCAGTTTTTACTTCATTAAAATTCTTGTTTATTTGGTCAAAGTAAATGCCTAAGTTGTTCTCGACTTCCCTCGACTATAGTAACGAGTTTTAGCAATTAAAAAAGTTGTATTTCTTAGTTATTACCATTTGTTAACGAATTTGATTTGTTCAACAGGTAACATATTGTCCGAGTATAAGCGTACTGGATACCTTTGGGAACAATATTCTGGTGAGGATGGTAAAGGTTCTGGTTGTAGACCGTTCACTGGATGGACAGGATTAGTTACTCTTATAATGGCAGAAGACTATTGAACGCGTGATATTATATAATTAATGGAATGCCTGTTGAATATCTAGATAATGACTGAAAAATACTAAAGAACACATGGACTTCATTAGGGTTGCCAGATCCAGGCTTATCATTTCCTGAACATTACTATGGCCACGTACAGAATCAGTTTGTCTGATTTTAGATTAAACTTTTTAGAACTGGTGGCTTAAAAAAAAGATTAAAAAAAAAAAACTCAATTGTATAAGCAATTGAGTTTTTTTTTAAATCTTTTTAATAAATGTGTATCAACCTCGCCATGCAGCACGAGTGCGATAGTATGTTTGACTTAAGTTAATTGTATTTTTAATCATCTTGTATTTGTGAATTCTGTAACACCAAATTGAAATAACGACACGGGACAACACGCAATATTCCGGGACATTCCCAGATTTCCCAGCCATTTGGCAACCCCTTTTTACAGGCACTCAACGCACTATTTCTGCCGCGTGACAGGACATTAGGGGGTATGTGGTATTCCCCTGCTGGTCCTACTGGGCCTATATCGGCTTACCTGGTAAAATCCGCTGCGAGTATCCTCAGAGAAGGGGGGAGGGGAGGGGGAAAAAGTCCCGGGATCCGCCGGGTCTAGGCACACACCCAGAAAATCCTGGGCATATCCTCCATTGGTAGTGGCACCAGAGCGTATTCGCCGGGCCAGCCACACCCTGAAAGGCGAACTTCTTAATTACCACCTCCCGGGTGGGAAAGGTTCAACCATACCCTGATACGCGATCCCTCTGCTTTCCCTCCTGTGGATGAGGTCCGTCTAGGCTTCGCCCCAAGCAAGCCTTTCGGGGTTCCCCTCATGAACCCTCTCCCGCAGCCTCTGGGTCCCTCGCCCTTAGGCGGTTAAGGGGCAGTCTGGCAACCCTAACTTCAGATCTTAGAACGTAAAAGATATATGAGGGGATCGTAGTAAACATTTTTTTATAAATGTCATTCACAGTTAGTAAGGTCAGAAAAGCAATAGTGAGCATAGTAGGCATTTAATATTTTTTAGCTACACTCAAATCGAAAAATTCGTATTACGAATTCAAAGACGATTCTATACAAACGCACACTATTTGAAAATAACGTTACAAACATTAACAAATCACCTGTCTTTAGAAATATAATACATAAGAAAATTCAAGCAGTAGCATGAGTTATCACAACATTTATTAAAGTTAGGTGGTACAGTCAGACTAATTCTAGGCGGTAGAGTAGAAGTATTAACAGACATGATCATGAGTGGAATGCCAATTAAAGGCTAAAAGTATACTCAAAATGAGCATTCTCTTTCACTGTACACAAATGCTTATTTTAAGCATACTCACAAACTTGAGTTCCATATACACTCAAAACTTCGATAATAAGTTTCAAAAAGCCAAATGACAATAAGCTTGCTCATAAGCAAACCTGTTCCGACGTGGTCAAAGCCCACTCCCTTCCACCCGCGTCTCAGGAAGCATGCTCAAAAATTAAACGGCCATTAATGAGCTGTCTGTCAGTCCCTTAAGATTCGACTAATATGGTACTCGTACATGTTGAATCTTCGTTTACTCAACCTACCAATTTGATTATGAGTCTTTTTACAATGACTATAATGTGTAAACTACGATGCATTAGTAGCCCGTTCCACTCTCACTCATCTGGTGTCAGATGTATAGGTATTGGTGGACTTGAAAATATTTAAGACATTCTGATTGGTCGACATATGCCGCTTCGAAATTTAGCCTTCTGCGCGGGTGCATCAGTGAGCCATATAAGTTATATAATATAAAGAAAAACATTTTACTAGTCTGTGTGGGTATAAAAGATATTAAGAAAAAAAAGACGATTAACAAATAAAGTACTTCCCATATTGTATAGGAGCGAAAATAGATTTAGATATTATCTCTGCTCTAATAAATAAATTAATTATTAGGGATGAAATGATAATAAATATGCATTTGCAGTGGTGGCGGTAGATAACATTTTTGAACGATTACAAAGTTGATTATGGTAATATTTTTATTTACCACAACTCTGGAATAGACAATGCCATCTAAAATGTATATTGTGAACCATATCTCCGAAACTACTAATCGCAGACATGCTGTTACTTATGTATTATTTCTCAGAAGTTAATGAACTATTTATTTATATAATAAACAAGTAGTCATCTAGACAATTGTAAGAGATCGGGTCAGTACCGTATATGTACCATACCGTATATGTATCGTACCGTATATGTGACACTAAAGGTTTAGTGTCACATATACGGTACAGAGTACTAATACGGTATTACATGTATTCATCGGAAAAGATACAGAGTTACATGGATGATAGTACGTATCGTTTACTGATTTAACATGTATCCTACTCTAATTTATATAATATTTAATAACATAGAGCACGACAGCGCACGATATAACGAATATTGATTTTAAAAATTCGATTGCAATAAATAAATATTTAAAAATACCTTATCCAAAGAGTCATGACTATATTTTAGTTTTTTTCTATTTTAATATGAAATATGAAGTGTATTTATTTAAATTATTTATTATTTACGTACACGCTAGTGTAGATTTATGATACCTATGTATTTTTCTTGCTAGTGGGTTGGTTATTACACCAATAAATACTCTATTAAAATTGACATTGGTTTTATAATTAAGGGCTGTTCAAGTATTTCGTCACGCAATTTGTGAAGATTTTTCACCCTCCCCCCTATGTAACGCGCTGTAACGGTTTTCTGACCCCCTTGTCCCTTCTATTAACGCAACGTAACACTCAAGTGACTAAACCTTTTGGTTTGCCAGCATTTAAAAGTTGGTTGGCATTTTTATGGCACAGTTGCGATGGCAAGTCGGCATGACAGTTTTTATAGTCCTACAAACCGCTTGCATCTTTACGTTTTACAAGACCACCCCAACAAATTGCGTGACGTAATCAGTGCTGGATTAAGCCAGAGCGGGGCTTGTAGAGATTAACAGTGCTATTAATAAATAAGGTTTAGCGTCAGATTAAATTTACGCTCCAATTTCAATTTTAGTATTAGTCTTAATTCATATTATACAGAGAATAAGCAAACCTATTATCTTCTAGGAGTAAATATTACAACCGTAGAATCTAGTACTAGGTTAACCTTTGCTAAGTCTCTGTTTAATAATATGAATTTTGACTAATACTAAGTGCAGTCTCAGCGTAAATTTACTCCAACGCTAAACCTTGTTTATTAATAATACAAAATTAAACACAGCATGTACGTTCAATACTTCGGGTTGAATCAAATGCAGTATTGAAGATAAAGTAGATTTTTATTTAATCCAATGTCAACGTAATCGAAGTTGATATAGTAAGGCGGGGCCTTACTTGGTAGGCCTGCTGATAAGTTATCAAAGATGGCTGATAATTATAATTATTGTATTAATTGATGTCGATTATTTATTATTTTATTTAACCGTTTGCTAAATGACATAAAAGTTAAGTTCTTAATTTTTTTTGTGATATGAATTTATACGATAAAATGTAGTTAGAAGATGCTCAATAAATATCATACAACAATAATTTAGCATTGTAGTCTGTAGCAATAAAGCAAAATATGAATACTTATGTAATAATAATTGAGAGGCATATTATTGTACACTAACACGTAACGGAAATTAAGTTTTCTGGCAAGTGAAGATTTTGATTATGATTATAATTTGCCTCAAGTTACAATGACGCCAATAGATAGGGTTATTACATTTCTAAATCAGTGGCCTAATGTCTAATTTTTTTAAATCTATTACAATAAATTTCAAACGTACAGCGGTTGTGAAAGTGTGAAAGTGGAATTGTGTAACTTTGAAAAGTCGCAATCGTTTTGGAACAAATGATGTGTGTGATATTTAATTTGGTCGTTGTTACTCGATTAAGTACGACGAACAAAGTTTTGACCGAATGTCATGAACTCCAAAAACAATTATGACTTCAAATATTACACATTCCTTAAGTCACCATCTTCGTTTTAGAAATAGTAACAACAGCGATACGTTTGAAAGCGATTGTGGCAGAGGCCAAGGGTGCAGTCATTGTTTTATTGATCCTAGACGGCATTAGTATATTATTAGATTATATTGCTATTTTCGTGTTTTTTACTTTATTTTTTATCTATGGATTTGGTTTATTTTAATCTTATAAATATATTTACATTTTTTAATTATGAAAAACAACGAATTTATTAAGTTGAGGTACACTAGCGCCGTATATTGACGGTTAATAATGAATACACGACGTTCCATTTTTTGTATTTTATATAAATACAAGCTTAAATGCAATGCGACCACATAAACGCAGTAATAATTACTAACTGAGCACAAAGTTCGTCAATTATAATAAAATTATTAAGGATTTTGTTACATTTAGGATTTATATATTTTTATTTAGTCTTCACAAATACTGTTAATTGAGAATATATTACACTCTAAGATGCAGTGGTGGACTAAGCGGAGGCGGAAGGGCGGGCTGCCCCGTACCTCAGGCCCTGGGGGCCTCCAAACAGCTGCAGCCAATCACCAAAATCATAATAATAATATAAAGTTATAAATGTATGCATGGGGGGATAGGAGTTAAACGTTGTCGATCCGGGCCCCCGGGCTGATGAGGTTAGTCCGCCACTGCTAAGATGTACGGCCGCATGAGGTCTGGCAGATATGTCCGTATAGTATGTATGCAAAGATATTCATTGGAAATACATTACTTTCGTTACACAAAAAGAGGAAACATTACGATAAATCCATTGTCCAGAATAAGTAAGAAATGGCAATAGCTTAACAAGTTCTTCATGCTGTTACGACATTTCCGTTTATTATACCTTTAGGTCTTCTTTATTATGCTTTGTACGGCTCGATAATGAAACACTTAAGTGTTATATATTTGTGGACTCGATTACTAATATATTTGTTTTATTTTTTTTTGTTTTACAATAGATTGTTTAATAAAAATATAAAAAAATGTTTGTTTTATTCGTAGATACATTTATATCGTAAATTGTTTCAAAATAAATAAGATGCTTTCCTTCCTTCCTTCCGATATCGAATCGGTCGGCGATAGCGTAAACCAAGTAGGTAGTAGCAGTTCGTTTCTTAAGTCATTTAGTAAGTTGTCTCTTATGCTGTTCCCAAAATTGATAAATAGTTTATTGATTAATAAAAAAAGAATCACGACATTGCGTATGTAATTTTGGGTTAAAATGATAACTTCGAGCCTTTCCAGATCTGTTAAAAAAATAGAGGTCAATGTGCAACCTCTTTTTTGATGTCAGTTAATGAAATGCGTTTTTTTAGTCTGACAAAAACATATTTTGATAAAACTTTTTTTTCAATTGAAAGCTAGACAATAAAAAAATTATTGCAATCCGATGTCTATAATAGTTCTCAAGAAATACGTGTATAAATACACCTATGAAATTGAAAGTTGAATTGAAAAAACAATTGAATGCACACGTGTTAAGAAGCTTTTATAGACCAACATCCATTATAACTAAATTACATATATACACTACCAATTAATAAATTCTTCTTTTTTTATTCTGCTTGAAATATCTATTAACACAAACTAGAATGTAGGGATTAGATCCTTTGCCTTGTTGATGAAATGAAGTTGATATTGACACTGACATCCGCTAACATTGTAGGGCTGTACATTTAACTTCAAAATCGATTTGTATATTTTTCTTATCTTTAAATATTTGTTTTTTATCTTGAATAACTAAGTTATACATCATCAAAGCCGATTTATATTTTTGTTTTTTTTTTCATAAATTATCTTTTTCACGGTAAACGTTTTTTAATCTTTTATTAATATGTTCATTGTAAATTTTGACGAAAAAGATAGAACTAAAGAAAACTACAAACCACCAAATTAATAAAAGAAAAAAAATACGGTTTCCGATATTCTTCAGTAAGTTTTTCTAAACCATTTCGAAGTTTAAAAAGTATAAATAAAACTATATTATTATTACTAGGGCCTAGAGATTTTTGACTTTATATGTAAGTCAAAAACGGTATACATGAGAGGAAGCGTTGAACGTTTAAATCATTATTTTTGTTGAATGCTTTACGTTGGTTTAATACTCTAAGTTGAAAACAAATTAAAAATATTCTTTTTATAAATAATCAATAAACCTTAAAAAACAAAACATCATGTCAGCCATTCAAATCCCACTACTGAACAAAGGCAAAAAATACTGATACTTTATTTCATCAATTATTTTTTGGCATCCCTGGTTGACGGTGTTTTTTTTTACTTTACAGACAGCTGTTGCTGTTGTCATGTCATATTTGCTGTGTTTTAGTATTGTTTCCAAAGATAATTTGAACACTGTTTTATCAGCCTTAGGTTTTCCAACTTTCCATTTCATAGAATTGGTAATTGTTTGGTTAAATGAATGTATTTAAATCGTGTAATGGTCTCCTACGTGAAGTTGGCAGTATTTTGGTGACGCAAAGTACCATTAAAGTTAAGAAGAACTTACCGTTTGCTTTTGGATTTTTGAACGATTATTGTAATATTTGAGTGATAAACATACTCGCCTAAAAGTTGTATGGGTCAAAGAAAGTTTAAAACATGGTTCTACCTGAAGACGTAACAGTGAAAGAGGAAAATGATAATTTTGAAAGCGATGCTTTTGAAGAGTCGAGTTGTGAAGTAGAAGTCAAGATTGAACACGTAGATAGTCCAGAAATAGATTGGTGTGTTGAAAATAATCAAGTTTTCTTCGAGAGTCAGGAATATTCAAATGAACAATACTTTGATGTCTTCAGTTACAAGGAACTGATTGAATATAGTCCACAAAACTGCAATATTTGTTCGCAAATATTTCCAGACAGGCAAGTTTTATATTCATGTCACATCCAAATTCCTAACTGTGGTAGTTAATTCAACCCACTCTACTGTCTGTTCTAGATTGCCTTTTCTCCTATCTATTCTTTTAAATCTTTTTTTAAGTTATTTAGTGGAATATAATATTTATATCTAAGGCCCTTCATAATAAAAGCTATATGAAAATATTCTTTATTAATTTTTATTATATTTAACTTTCTGTAGTTAAACTTAACTCTGGTTTTGCAAACACCAATGTAAAGACACTCATGTTTTTACTGATATTGGTGCAAACACCCTTTCACATCTGTAAATTTAATATTAGGTTTTTTAACATTATTCATAGTCACACTTAATTGAAAAATACTTAAGTTTGACAGGATTATAACTAAATTTGCACCCAGTTTCTGAATTAAGTTTTTAAATTTATTGTACTTAAATGGGTTTTTGTTTCTGATTTTAATTTTTTTATTGATCAATTGATGGCTATTTGACAAAAACTAGGACTTTTTGTCTTGTAAAAGGTAAAAAACTTAAGTTTAATCAGTTGACATTTTGTACTTTTCTCAATTTAGAAACTGACCATTAGTCTAGTTTGTGTAATAGGATCAACATCATTCTAATAAAAACATCTTACATAAAAATTATTGTTTCAGCTTTTCTCTAATATGCCACAACACAAGACACTTAGAATTAAAATTAGTTCCAATAACAATAAGATATCAATGTGATGAATGTCTACTATATTTTGATCTGGAATCAGAGTTACACAAACATTTGGAACGAAAATGTCAACATTCATCAACAAACGATAAACTACTTGTACCCAGGAATATTAAAACAAAAGAGACAAAATCTGTGATAACAAATAATAAACCACTCATACTCAAGAATGTAGATACGAAAAAAACAAAATCAGTTTTACACTGTCATATCTGCAATAAACTGTTATCATATAAAATTTGGCATGATCACATTAAAGAAGTACACAGCAGCAAATCATTTCAATGTGCTTTATGTAGTATGAGATTCAAAGCGAAGAGATATCTAAGAACTCATATGAAATTTGTACATCAAAATTCAACAAAAATAGACCCTAAGATGATCCCAGACAATTTAAAATGCAAACTGTGTCCAGCCATGTTTAACCACAAATACAATTTGCATTTACATATGAAAAATTGTCATTGTGAAAAGGTTCAATGTGAAATATGTTTGTCAGAAATGAAGAAATCTAATCTCCCTAGTCATATGAGAAGAGTGCATTACAGTGATGGCAAAGAGCATAAATGTGATTGTGGTAAATCATTCCGATCTCCTAGGTACTTAAAGATACATATTAAAAATACTCACAATAACAAAAAGAAATGATTGTGGATTTTTGTAGACCATTTAATTATCTATTATTGACTGATTTGTTGGTAAGATTTTTAAAAGAACCAAGTGTTTTGATCAAGTATATTTTATTAATTCCATCCATCGCAGAAGTCATATAAACTATACCATTAGGACACAGTATATTCAGAAATATTAAGTCAAAAAAAAAAGTAAAATATTCCTGAGATGTTTTTTTAATTTTAGACATAGTTGTTGCTTAGACTGGTATTCCATTGCATATAGATGCATTATCTAGTTAATGAGGAAGTATTTAAAAAGAAATGAGTTCCCGAAAATCAAACTAGATGTTGCTATGGTATGTTCTTGATTTCTCAATGACAACCCTTCCAGTTTTCTTTCATGTTTAAATGTAAATTAGTTTTCAAAACTCAATAAACAACTTATATTCTTTTTGTACTTTATCGTATTTGTATTGATATCAAAGTTTTTTCAAAGATTAGTTTTTATCTGTGTTTTTTAATATGTTAGTTAAAAGGAACGGAAATGACTGTCTTTGGTCCATTTGTTTCCTGCAAAAATCAACTTTTGCTAGAATCGCCATCTAGAGGTGCCTTTTAGTGATTTCGTTTTTTTTAAATACTTCCTAATTATATTGAAAATAAGTTGTTATTAATTTCTGTTACATAAACGCAACAATATTTTATTATGTAATAAAAAGATCATCATACCTAAAAATGATTTATTTACTACTGTACAGTATCTTTATAGAAAGATAAAGATAAAAAGGTTTTCTTCCAGAGTTGTTAAGGAAATATTGATGTTTATTTCTTCTTCAATATAGTGAAATCTCTAATAAACATATTTCATTCTATATATCTAACATATTCTAAATTTTTCATTCTGCAGTGTTCACATCATTTAATTTCTGTTTCTCAAACATCAACCTTAGTTTTTCTGTAGCTGTCATTGGCAACCGGTTGTTTGCACCATACTTCGGATCAGGTAGTTTCGCTGTATTCAACTCTGGATCTTTGAAAGTGAAAGGTGTCCAAGGACCTTGTACCGATGGATAATCTGTGTATTGGTATTTTCGGAGACGAAGAGAAGCAATGTCTCCTTGTTGAGTACGCAAAACTTCAATCCATTTTGTTATTTCAGAGTGAGTTTTGTTATGCATTCCCATCCATACTCTGTCACCATTAACTGAAACCATAATATTACTGAGAATTGATAATTGAAAGTCCTCTGTAGGGTATTATAGACACCATGTAAGTATTATATCGTATAAAGCCTTCATTAACTTCACAATGATAACTGAAAGCTACAAGGTATCTCTTAGAAGTCTTTCGCATCCTTAACAATAATGTAGAAAAAAAACATGTATTTTTTTCTACAATCAAAGTTTCTTATTAGTCTAGTTATCTTTATTTCATAAGAAGAATAAACTGAAATAATATGTGATTCACATAGCATGAAGGACTTATTATTCTGAATATGTTTCACTTACGATACTCTGCAACAATGACGGGCCCTCTGTGTCTTCGTGGTTTCAAATAAACAACAACACTGGGATTTTGTTTTGCAAAGTCCACTAGATCTTGTTCGATGAAGTCTCTGTAAAAAAATATTCTTACATGCTGTACAAAGTATTCATATTCGTTAAAAACAAAATATAATAAATATACCTCAATCCTCTACTGGATCCATTACTTTTGCAGAATTTTAGCACAATTCTTTGCAGTTGTGGAACGAATCGGCCTACACCGTTTTGTAAAGGTGCCCTGATGAATCCAGACTTTAAAAATAGATTACTATTAGACATTTTTAGTTAACTTTTCTACTAAAACTCAATCATAGAAAAAGGTTACTTTTTCTGTCAAAAAGAATGAAATATGTCAATCGAATTCGTTTAAGGCAACGGGATCTTAATCCACACAGTCACAGATATCGATATTTCCAATGATTGGCAGTGTTACTATACTATTTAAAAAAATTAATACTCCGAGTAAAAAATTAGTACACAAAAGTACTTTGAGGTTAATAATCAATATTTATCAATATACCTTCAGTATCTATGTTTACTAGTTTAAGATCTTTCAGAATAAGTTTTCATTATTAATTTTGATCATATTAAATTTTTTAATACTTCTTCATTATTTAAAAGTCTATAACTTTTGCATCTTTCTCCAAAACTAACTCCTTTTTCAAGCATTTATTTAACTTGCCTTGTTTGTATATGTTAGTTAGATAGTGCGCAAATCTTAGAACTCATGATCTACTTCAGCATCCTGCCTTCTCACCAACATCAAGATCATCTTTCAACACGCGTACCTGCTACGCAGCTCGCACATCACGGCACGTCGCCACGTCACATCAACACCAACATCGACATCGGCATCACCAACCTGCCGCTGGCCGCTCCAACATCGCCGGCCCACTCGCGCCCTGTGCGCGTCCACTCCGCCGCCACATAGCGCGCCCTCGCGCGCCCGTATATAGGGCAAACCGCGCGCCCGTGCGCGCCCGCGTCGCTCTAATAGTTATTGCGTGCCCGCGCACGCTCGCGTCGCCTTAGCCGCGCGTCCGCCCGCGCCCGCGTTCGCGTTCGCGTCCCGCGAGTGATCACTAGAGAGGACTCTGGACTCTTAAATAAGTCAAGTGTTGTGCCTTGTGTTGTGAAAGTGTAGTGTTACGGTCCCGGACTATCGGCCGTACTTACTGGATTTCAGTGCCCTACTGGATTACAGTGTTTGGACTTTACTCACAAGGTAATTCTTTTCGATAAACACACACCCTACAGTGAATCCCTTCGCTGTAGGATTACATTCGGCCACTTTGGCAACCAAGTAGGTTACCTTACTCACGCCTCCCTGTCCTCTTGGCAGGGAGGGCTGTAGCCCTCTCCCTTCCCAAAAACTATTCATAGTCTTAGTTTACCTTAATTTTACTGTGTTTTTCATTACTTATTTTAACTTTACCGCTCTGTGTTCTGCCCTGCCCTATGGCAATGCACGCTGCCATGGGCGGGGACACCGAGGCGGGAATGCGCTGGCTAGCGCAATCCTGCCCGGAGGCTTACTTAACACTCACCAAAAAGTTCGGCTTTAAGTCATTAGCACCCGTTCCTCCAACAAACAAAACATTCATCGCCGCTCCTTCCACTGCTTCACCCGCCACCGCCAATGTCCCGCTATTCCACGAGGAGAGTCCCTCGTCGCCCGAAGTCATGGAAGTCGTAGACGACAGCGCCACTAATGGCGAATTCACCGTAGTCGGTAGGAAAGGGAAAAGGTCCCGCAAGGCCAGCTCCCGTTCCTCCGACTCCGAGTCTTCTGATGACGCCTCAAACCCGCCACCTAAGGCTATTAAAGCAAACACGGGCACTCCGCGACCGGCTTCACCGGCACACGCGCAACCGCACCAATTAAAAACAGGCCCTCCGCCACCCGTTTATGTCCAGGACCTTAAGTCCTGGAATGATCTATCGCGTGCGCTTAACAACAAGCGCATCTCATACGTCCAGGCGTCGAAAACCGGGACCGGTGTCAAGATCACAGTAGCGGACTCGTCCGAACATAGGAAACTAACCGCTTATCTCCGGCAAGCCAACATTGGCTTCCACACCTATTCTCTACCCGAGGAACGCGTCCTACGAGTAGTCATCCGCGGGCTCCCAAAGGAGCTAAGCAACGAACTTATCATGGAGGACCTCAAGTCTCAAGGCCTCCCGGTACACTCAGTGAACTGTCTTTTCTCTAAAGACAAGCGGCCATACGACCTCTTTATGGTCACGCTCGACCTCTCTCCTGAGGGGAAGAAAATATTTAACATAAAATCGATATGTCATCTCTCTAACCTCAAAGTAGAGCCTCCGCGAAAACGCAACATAGTAGGACAATGCCATAACTGTCAACTTTACGGACACTCTGCCCGTAACTGTTATGCACAACCACGCTGTGTTAAATGCACAGAGAGTCACGCGACGAAGGACTGTCCGAGGCCCAAAATCCCACTAGCAGACAACCCACCGAGCTGCGTCCTCTGTGGAGGCGGCCACACCGCTAATTACCGCGGATGCCCCAAAGCTCCATCGAGAGCGCCGCTCGGCAACAAAAAACACCCAGCCAACGTAGCTAACACCCAAATAGCTACTAAACCCGCCCCCGCAAAGGCATCAACAGCAGCAGCAGCACCAGCATCATCGGCCTCCCTTCGGCCTACTCCCCCGCCTAATGCTTGGGTTAAACCCCCCTCAATCATCAAAAAATCACCTCCTCCCCCCGCTATCGCACACCCTCAGCCACCCCAACCCGCCGCTTTAGCACCCACACACACGGCTACCGACTCCTCCTTCTCTGTGGGGCCCCTCGGCGGCGGTATATCGAACGCAGACCTTGCGTTCCAAATCGCCGCCGCGATCGACCCCGAGGAGCTCGAGGAGCTGGGAGCCAAAATGAGAAGGGCTCTGGGCAATTTTCAACTGATGGCCCAGGTGTTCCGGGAACACCGAGCCCTAATCGACACCATCCGGTCCCTCACTATTAAGGCCCACTAATGGCTAACACAAGGATAAAACCCCTTTCCCTCACTTTAGCCTTCTATAACGCTGACGGCTTCACCGGTCAGTGTATAGAAATTGCAAATTTCTTAGTAGAACACTCAATAGATATCTTTCTTGTACAGGAATCATTTCTAAAACCGTCCAGAAGAGACCCGCGTTTTGCTAATTACAATCTTATTCGTAATGACAGAACCAACGGTGAAAAGGGTGGTATCCTTGTTTACTACAAACGCTCGCTTCATTGCGTCCCACTTCCCACGCCTCCGCTCACGGAAATGGAAGCTTCGGTCTGTCGGCTAGGCATGACCGGTCACCGCCCGATCACTATAGCCTCAGTATACTTATCGCCCTCTAGGACACTAGTAGAATCAGAACTACGGGCCCTGTTTGCAATGGACGAAGCCGTCATTCTTGCCGGCGATTTCAATTGCAGACACGACCAGTGGCGTTGCATCTCAACCAACACAAACGGTCGGAAGCTAGTCAAGTTGTCTGACACTATGATTTTTGATATCGTAGCGCCGATGACCCCCACACACTATCCCAGAGCCCCCGACCACGCCCCCAGCACCCTCGACTTGGCGTTGCTAAGGAACGTATCCCTTAGGATGCGTTCCATAGAAACGCTACCCCAACTGAACTCCGACCATCGCCCAGTCCTCCTCCAACTAGGGCCCCCACCCGTCCCATCCGATCCTAAAACAGTGACGGACTGGAAGAAGCTCGTTGAACTCCTCGAGCCTTCTGACGGTTCGCCGCTGAACTCCATACCCGACACAATCACCACCCTCTCCGACACTAAACACGCGATCGGCGCTCTCAACGACCACATCACCACCGCTATAAGCGAGGCGGCCCGGCGGGTTCCAGCGATGGTTGACCGCCGCTGCAAACTGCCGGCTGACGCTAGAGGGTTGTTGAGGGCGAAGAACGCGGCTACACGCGCACACGACGCTTACCCCACTGAGGACAATCGAATCCGATTGCGCATCTTACAGCGTGCTGTCAAGAAACGCATGAAAGAACTCCGGGAGTCTCAGTGGGATGAGCTTCTCAGCGACATTTCACCATCGCACACTTCCTATTGGAAACTCGCGAAATCGTTTAAATCCGATACGATCACCACTATGCCGCCTTTAGTTAAACCGGATCACTCCATCGCTTTTGACGATGACGAGAAGGCCGAATGCCTCGCCGACAGCCTCGAGGCCCAATGCTCCCCTAGCTTGCTCCCCGTCCCCCCGGAACACGTTCGACATGTGGACGACGAGGTCACCAGGCGCTCCTCCCAGCCTCCTGTTGACGCCATCGACCCGGTCACTGTAGATGAGGTGCAAACGTTAATCAAAAATCTACGTCCTCGCTCCGCCCCGGGCTCGGACGGCATTTCAAACAAAATCATTAAAATATTACCAGCCCAACTCATCTTTTTACTAGTCGCCATCTTCAATGCGGCTATCGCGAACTGTATCTTCCCACCCGAGTGGAAGGAAGCCGTCGTTATTGGGATCCGCAAACCCAATAAGGACGGCTCCATTCCCTCAAGCTATCGTCCTATTAGCCTACTGAAATCGATAGGTAAACTCTATGAACGCGTGCTTTCTAATCGGATTAAAGATTTCGTTTTCTCTAATAAGATTATGATGGACGAACAATTCGGGTTCCGCCCTAGTCATTCATGTACCTATCAAGTTCACCGGCTAACCGAACACATTTGCTATTATCGCGACTTCCTTAAGCATCAACCCGTCCCGACGGGGGCGTTGTTTTTCGACGTGGCGAAGGCTTTCGACAAAGTCTGGCACAACGGGCTGCTATACAAGCTCTATCACCTCGGCCTGCCAGACAGACTCGTGCACATCATTCGAGACTACTTGTCTGAAAGATCATTTCGCTTTCGCGTCGAGGGAACGCTCTCGTCCTCCCGCCCGATTCGCGCCGGCGTCCCGCAGGGCTCGGTTCTCTCCCCATTGCTATTCGCGCTTTATGTCAACGACATGCCTAGGACTCCTCGTGTCCATTTATCGCTTTTCGCTGATGACACCGCACTCTACACCTCCGATAAGCGTTGCGAAACCATCTGCGAAAGGCTGCAGACAGCCGCCACCACCCTCGGCGAATGGTTTCGCAAGTGGCGTATCGAAGTCAATCCTGAAAAGAGTGCTGCTTTGCTTTTCTCCTTTAGAACTAAGGTAGTCGACTCGAACTCTCTTCCTCGCATCCGACTATTCGATCAGCTCATCCCCTGGGTCGAGCAGGTCAAATACTTGGGTGTCACCCTGGACAACAGATTGACGTTCGCACCTCATATTAGGTCAGTCCGTAATCGCGCCGCTTTCGTACTAGGTAGGCTATACCATCTCATCGGAAGGCGGAGTAAAATGTCGCTTAGACATAAGCTGACAATTTACAAAGCCTGCATTCGACCCATCATGACCTACGCTAGTGCTTGCTTTGCCCATGCATCTCCTGCGCTCCTCAAACCATTCCAAACCCTCCAAAATCGCTTCTTACGCGGTGCCACGGGCTGTCCGTGGTACGTGCGTAACATAGACCTCCATCGTGACCTCCGCTTAGAGTCCATCGCCTACTTCATGAAGGAAGCCTCAAGACGCCACTTCGACGTAGGATCCCACCACTCCAATCCGCTTATTGCTAAAGCTTGCGACTACCTAACAGCAGCTATCCGTCCCCGCCAAACACGACTCTTCCGTCGACCCAAACATGTCCTAGACTATCCCGACGACCCCATCACTCTTGCCAACCCCCCTCAGACAACAACACGCAACACACACTCGCCGATAGGCCCGCGACACCGCACTCACCGGTCACGAGTGCGACGACCCGGTCTACACAGCACGCGATTCACCAGGTACAGACACGTGCCTGGGCGTTTCTCCCCGCCCTCCACGACACGGGATAATTAGAGCCGAGGTCCGAGCCTTTAGAGGCGCCCTCCAATTATCCCGACCCCCAGCGTCCGAAACGAGAGTCCAGGGCGATTCTACGACGGAGTGGAGACACCCCCCCCGTGGGGTGATGCCCTCCTAGTAGATAGTCTCAAAGACGATCGTCATCTCGGCTTGAGGTCCTCAGGATCTCGCCGTCCCTTAGTCGCGGTTACACTGTAAAGGCCATCTGAGGCCAACAGGTTTCTCCGAACCAAGTGTTTTATTCGAGACCTCTGCTACCTACCCGCTTTCAAATCCAGCTACAGTCCATCTGCTACAAATATAATAAACAACTAAGTAACTAAAACGTAAATAATTTTATACAATCTTTTTTCTCTAACAGTAATTGAGTCTTGAAAAAATTGTAACGCTAATGAAATCGGAGTATAGTTTTTCAAGTAACTTAGGTTTTTACAAGAGCACAGTGGCGCAACACTTTCATTTTTATGTCTAAGTGTATTTTATCATAGCTTTAAATACCCCCAACAGTCAAAATAATCCTGGCATGCGATTTAATAAACCTGTTTGGACTTATATGGCTAATATGCCACTGCACTTATATCAGCATACGTGAATCCTGTTTTTACTTAAGTACGCTTACTCTTACGATATGGACTTATATCGATATATAGGATCACAATTTATGGCTACTACTGGACTAAACCAAGAGGAATTACGCCGATAACTCAGACTTATATGCGCATATAAGACAAGCCTTTAAGCCCATTTTAATCTTCAGGCTCCTATATGAGTATATTCGAGGAAAATGTGCACTGAAGAACAATCACTCTTTTTATTAGTCTTACTTATAGCCATCTTATATCAGGATATCTTATATCATTAAAACTTATATCAGGACTCGCTAGGCAAAAATTCACTTTATAGGGGTTTGTTATATACCGATATAAGCCTAGGAAGATTTATATGGGTATTTCATAGTAGTGCTACTGTCTAAGAAATCTTCAAACAATCCTGGCTAGAACTCTTTAAAGGCCTTTTGCTGGAAACAACCGATTTAGTCGAAAACACGATGTGAATGGTTTCCCAAATCTTACTATAGGATTTGCGATCAACCATTAAAATCACAATTGCTACTAAATATTTATCATAACAGAATCTACGATTTCCAGTGTGAAATCCCTGATGAGACAGTAATAATTGTAGAACCCTAATTGTGGAACCCTAATTGGTAACAACATGACGAATTTGATTTGGTGTTGGCACTTACCATTATAGAACTAAATTTACTTTTATCAATCTTGGAAAAGGTCACCCAAAAAATGGCGACTTTTCCTAACATTTGTTGAAAAATAAATGAATACAAGAAGTGTTAATAAGCCATTTTTAAGAGGCGCTTTAAAATTTTAATCGATACCAAGATAAGGTTCACAGAAAATTCACATTCCCCAGCAAACAGATAACTCAAATACTAAAAACAATAGGATATGTTTTTCTACTATGGTTGACCATATTTCTAGTTATCATATTAATAAATACAACCTACTACCTTTGCTCAAACTTTTAAATTTTTTTTTACACTGCACAATTTGACAATTCGCTGAAACACTAGGTACATACTTAGTAGAGGCATAGCTAGGCCCGAGTTAGTCACACTTTTTACAATAGTGGATTTATATTGACATTTTCAGGTAAAAGTATACTTGCGTAATTCCTATAAAGGAGCCATTTAATCAAAAGTGGGATGGCTGCGGCCTGATATAATCGCGCTGTAAGCAAGGGCAGACTTATAAAGTGGGCCCTTTTCCGGGCTTATATGCAGATATAAGACTCATATAATCCTCAGGAAATCATGGTTCTAGGATAGTTAAAAAACCGCTTTTTGCTGGTTGGGCCGGTAACCGGTGCTACAAGAAATGCAAAAATGCTGTTTTTTTTGGGGAATTTTGATTTTTTTCTATCGGGGTTATACATTCACGTTTTGGTTATGATTCATCATCATCACCATCATCACCAGCCCTTTTATTACATCCCCACTACAGGGGCTCAGGCCTTCCTTATGGATGGCTAAGGAGGATCATGGCCCTCCACGCTGGCCCAATGCGGGTTGGAGGGTATTAACGACTGCAAATGCAGCCGGAACCAACGGCTTAACGTGTCTTCCGAAGCACGGAGTAGCTCGAGATAATAATTTTTTGGTCACCCATCCCGTGACCGACCCTAGCGAAAGTTGCTTAACGACTACGATCGCGGGCCGCGGCGCTTATCCACTACGCTACCAAGCTACTCAATGATTGATTATCTAAAATTTGACGTCGTTCTGCCATTTTTAAGACTGAACGTGCTCACAGAAGCCTTGTCGTTAGATGCCTAGTTTATAGTGCTATAAATAGTAAATTTAATAAAATATATTTTAATGACATCTATCGTGTGTGCGCGTGTGTGTATGTTTAATGTATGTGATCTTAATTTATCAATTCACCCAGGATACGATTATAAAGTATTTTCAGTTTTATCATAGTCTAAACAGCTCAGCCATTCGGTAACTTCTTTTTAAAATTCTTTAATGTCAATGGATATATTTTTGGGGTTTTATTAATTTTGTTGTAAATGTTTGAAGATAAATTCATGAACTGATATTGCGCAAATCTAGTTGTAGTAGCAACTTTATCCTTTCTCCTTTTAGATTCTTTATTATTATAGTATTCTATAGATTTATGTATCTTAAAAACAATTTGTACACGTAATATGTTGAGTTTTCTTACTGTAAGCAGATCTGCATCTGAGTATACAGACTGAGTTGAAAATTTCGTTTATTTAAATAACAGTTCTAAGTAAGGCTTTTTGAACACGTTCAACCTCTAGAAGTTTTGTTTTAAATGCTCCTCCCCAGAGGGTAATGCAGTAAATTGTAATTGACTGTGCTAATGCTATATACTATATTTAATTTATTAGATTCTTATGTGCGATATAATTCTTTAAAAACCAAATAAGCTTCCGAAAAAACAATATGAGAATACCAGTTCAGTTTTTGATCCAGCAGCACTCCAAGATATTTTTTTATTTTTACTTCATTTATGACAGCGCAAGTACCAACTCAGGTTTACATCATGATTATCCACGTATTTCCGGTAAAAAACACGGTATCAGTGTCATCTGCATATGAGATTATCTTGCTGTGTGGGATCATCATGTTACAGAGATTATTAATATTGACCAAAAACAGTGTCGGCCCTAACACACTCCCCTGTGAAACGCCATAGTTTATACTAACTGTTTGGACCAATTTAATTCTCTGAAACGTACCATTTAGATAACTCCTCAGAGGTTTAAGAGGAGAGCCCCTGATACCCAAATGTTCCAGTTTCTGTTTAAGGATTGGAATGGATACCGTATCTGAGGCCATTTTTAGGTCTCTTACCACTACTATTTCACACGCGTCAGAATCTTCACCTTTTTGTTTTTGTTTAGAATGTTGTTTCAAGTCCGTTTTTAAACATATGCAATTTTATTGATAATAAATTAGTGAGTGAAAAATAGAGAATGGAATATATTATCGGGTGATATCTATGTGAATAAACGAGCAGTTTTTAAAAATTATTTATTAAGAAATGATCACAAATATACAGAACGATTAAATACAACTATAACTTACACTTAAAGTCGTATTCATTTTATAAAGTCAAAGTTTTAAATATTGCACTTTTTAGTTGGCAGATACTTGCAATAAGCAGTCACACGATACGGTTCTTCTAATATATACTTACTGATCATTTATCTGGCTAAAATTAACAGTAATTTATATGTAAGTATTCCACAATAAAAGTATAAAAGGATTATTTGAGAAATATAATTTGAGCTAGGTACTTAGGTACTTATTTTTTAAAAGCGATCTCAAATAAGTAATATATACAGTATATATAAGTAATATATCGCTTTTTTAATGTCATTAGATTTTTTATTTTCAGTTACAATTTCTTTTAGATCGTTATAAAAAGAAAATACGCATTACATAGTTAGGTATACAATAATATTAGACTTTCACTACTATATAATATAAATAAAAATAAATAGCTTAACGTTATTACTGAACATTATATCTGCCTAGTGTAGTAAATTTCGAAAAATTCGGTTCTGCCGGACCGCTTAATAATATCACACAGTATTTTCAAACATTCTTACATGTGTCTGGAAGGCTTAAAAGAACAAAATTTCTTTACTTTCCACTAAGAAAAGTGGTAATACTTATTATTATTGCACTTATTTACTTATCTTCAATAGATATTGCACAACGAGATACAATTAAATCGACAAGTGCAAGAAAAAACATTGTAACTAAATTTTTGCAACTTTTGCAGGGGAATCTAACATAGTTAAAAAAAATGTAACTCAAGCACGATATAAAATACGTTATTTCAAATAATTATAAGGAATTTAAATTCTTTTGTAATTAAAACTTTTTCTTGCTAATATCAAATTGGTAAGTTATTATTGCATTATGAAATGAGACATTTATTAATTAATTTGTAACATTATACAAATAAGGTTTAAGCTATTATTGTCAAGACTTCCTATTCTACTAATTTAGGTAGGTACGTATATAATTAAAAACAGTTTCTAAAAACTTATGAAGTAACTCATTTTGTTCTTCTTGGCTCAATTTTATCTAAATTTCAAATGAAAAAATACCATAATTTATTTAGATACGAGTGAAAATGTTATTTCACGACGACCATTTTCATATTAAATATGAGAAACACCATTATCTGATGAAATTTAAAGCAAAAAATATTATTAATTCAGTCTATTTTAATTGAAAGTTCCTTTTTTACCAGTACTTCTCAATGGAGAAATACTAGCAAATAAGCTTCCTTCAATAAACAAATAGCAGCGATTAGCAATGTATTAACAACTAATAAACTTGCTTTCAAGTTGTATGCGTTAAACATATATGTATTTATTTAAAAAACTAACATAAATAGTAAGGCATTTTATATATTACGAGTAAGTCAATACTTTAATTACCCTTTACACTTCGTTATTTTACACCTGTAAATGAATGGCCAAAAGAGTATAAAGTATATTCAATTTTCACCGCACATCAATGCTGTATATAAATGTACAAAAAAAGATCATAGATTTATAATCACTGAAATTCTCATATGCTTCTTAAACAATATTATTTAAAGGAGATAATTTTTTGCAAATTTGATTTGGTTAATAAAATGTAAGGCAATTTGTTTATCAGTTTTGCTTTTCATTTTAAATTAACATAATTCTAGATATAAACGTAAGGAACCTGATTTATCGAACGTTAAATCAGAATGTTTTAATGTCATAATTGATAAATGCTCGGGCAGATTGTTTAATCTGAGTAACCTGCATTAAAAAAATCATAAGTTCGTTCCTATTACCGCCCCAAGGCATTGCAATAGTGGAGGTGCTCGAAAGTAGAGACAAAGACTGAAGACAGCGGCTTTCGCATTAAAGGTATATGATTGCCAATATAATCTCTTTATGTGTTACATGGGTCTTTGATTATATATATATTTTAACTATGTACTTGTATTTTTAATAAGATCTTCTCCCGTCAACTGTTTTATCCTGATTGGTACTTGTACGGCAGGCAGGTCAACACTCTTGGAACGACGCCGGCCATTTTGCTCGTCATCGGCTGCCTTCTGGGGCAAGGGCGGCATCTCTGGGAGTTCAGGGAGCGTCGGACGTCTTCGTGTCAATTCTGGTGTACGGAGAGTCCCTCCTATAATTTGTCAGTATATAATAAAATATAATTGAATAAAACATAATTTTTATAATCAATATCAAAATGTACAAGTATTTTACAGAGAAAATATCTGAACAAGTAGTTAGATATATGTTAATATAAAAGTTTATTTTAAAAATTCATAATAAATATTTTCGTGTTAATTTTCTTGGCAGTAACTGAAACAGTGACTAACTCACTGACTCGTAATATTATTACTCGGTAACAATTAACTACAGTCTAACAAATAATCCAAAATGTAATAGTAAAAAGTTTCATGGGATAGCTTCTTTTGAACTTTAATAATTGTGCTCTCGAAACAGTCAAACATTAACTTAAAAATAACTTGTCTTTTTTGAACATAATTTGTCTTTTTTTTCTAGTGTTGACGAATTGGGTAATTAAGTTATTGGTTAGATAATGAAGTCAATAGAATATTATCATCTATTTACATCGCATAAACAGAAGGGGTCATAATATTTTGTCTATACACTATTATCAATCTCTCGAACGCTTATTATATTTAACTTTCTTTGAGATAATCTGGTAACAACTATTCATTTGGCAAATTTATCTGCAAGTGTAGTCAATTGTTAAAAAGATATAGGTAGAATTGGTAAAATTAGTTTTGATCAGAATTTATAATTGTTTTATCCACCATATTGGACAATTTTTATGCCAATTTCAACACTATTTATGTTATTATATCTTATTTAGAAATTAACATGGTAACTACGTTAATAATCTTTAATTAAGTAAGAAACATTACCTATTACGCCATTTAATAAAGTGCTGTATTCTCACTACAAAAATATTGTTAATCACAACGAAAATAGCCTAAGCGTCAAAGCGAATGGAAATGAAAAAAAACATAAGAAGACAGAAAATAATTAATAATAGATTGATTAATCATTTTTTTATTAGAAAATAAACATTATTTATACAAATTTTAATTATATTAGTTTTTTTCATAAATAGTAATCAACATTTTTGAAGAAGCTTAGAAGTGATAGTTGTTTGAAGGAAAGCTTTTGTTTATAATAATTACATAATTATGTCATCAGAAGCATACTACATGTGTATATTGAAGTTGCGGTTACGAATTTGATAGTGCGGTTTTCACTCCTCATAGTGTAATTTAAAAATCATATTTTTTGGAGGGATCTCATGAAACCTCTATTAATTTAACATGTTTATAACGAAATTACTGTACAATTTATCGATATAAATCTATCTCGGAGCAAAACCGAGGTATCAAATTCATACGTAACAATTTTGCAGTGTAAAATTTCAATTTTGGCCAAATATGCGTGCGACAATAACGTTAATATTTACCTGAATTAGACATAGGAAACAAAACACAACTTATTTGTGTTCTTGTGAGCAATCTGTTAAGATCACATACAAATTATTAATACTTTCAACGAATTCTTAAATGAACGTACACAAGAGTTAAATAGTGAGATAAGGCGGATATAAGTTTCATAGGGTTTATGGCGTAACAAAAATTGACTCTGCATACATGTGCAGACAATCAATGGCCGATGTACCAATGGCAGAATAAAATAAATTTTTAATAATTATAAAAATGTTTAAAAATTATCCTGCTTTCTGTTTTCGAAGAAACAGAGTACAAATGGCTCAAGCAGCTATATTATATGTTGACGCATATTTCTGTAATACAATGAATTATCTTGTTGGAGCAATGTAGCTTATCCTAAAATAACCTGGGCGACTGAATAACCGTTTATTGTACTAAACGACCGATTTTTATATATTTAAAGAAATCATGTTCTATTTAATATCCTTATATAATGTATAATTCAGTTATGTATGTGCGTGGCGTAAGCGAAGCGTGTGCTCACCTATACAAGAGTGATGCGTGTGGCTCACATACCCTTGCGGCGCGGCTCTGACTCCCCACCGGCTGAGATCTGCTCGCAGCCGTCCGCTCGAGTACGGGCGCCGAGCTTAGGCGAGCTGCGTACAAAATATGCGCGCTCAGCAAAGTATTTACTTTGCAAAAACATTATGAAGTTTATATTTATTTTATAGAACAAAAATACTTAACGAATTCAAGCATCTCTAGTACTCTCAGACAGAGCTGGACCTTTTTTCTATCAAATTAATATCAAAATAACACTGTGATTGCGAATTGTATTAAAAATTAAACTTTTAGGAGAGTCTGTTTTACTTTTACAAGTACAGAATAGTTGATTTAAAACTATCTGCCATAAATGACTAAAACGAAGATTTTTGGGTTATATCATTTTGTTATTAAGTGTCACTTTGAAGAGTATAGACATATTTTTTAAATCAATGGAATAGCGTGGTGCCTTCGTGTATTTCATAACATAGCGCTCATAAAGGTACTTTCTGAATAAATTATATTGTATTTGGGTACAATTCATTGTAAAGTAGCGGCTCTACATCGTACCTGAAGATGATCTGCCCCTTATTCTGTAACACTGAAGATAATCGAAATAAATTGTTTACAGAGCTGTGCGGGCAATCGGTGATACGAGTGATTTTGACACATTGGAATTATTCATTTTTTACGACTTTAAGCTCTCAGTTGAGTTAACGAATAAGCCTGCGGAAACAATGTCGCAAACTGGACTCTCGAATCAAAGTCTAATTTTGACAAATTAAACGAGCTTCCATTCCGCGGTAGAGCTAAGGCTAGTTCTAATTAAAATAAATAAACAATAATTATTTATCTAACCTCTGTTCGACGAGTATTTTGGTCAGTCTCGCCACTTCAGCTCTCAGTTGGGTTACTTCTTTGTCCTTGTTCCTGAGTTCCTGCTCCGCCGAGCGCTCCCGGGCGGAAAGTCTTGCTCGCATATCGTCGAAACTACAAATACATACAATACGATAACATCAACATCATTAAGCATTCTTTAATGCTGCCAAACGATTTCAATGCTGTGAATGGTGACAATATTTATAACGATACCAAATGCGGGATTTTGTAAGTATTTATTTATTATATAAGCTTTCTGTCAGCGGGTTCGCCCGCTTGGTCCTGTATTTTGAATATATATTTATATATAATACCTATATATACCTATATTATACTAGCTTTATGCAACATCAGAAACAGAGTTTTATACATACTTATTTGTGTTTAATGAGCCAATGTATTTTCAATCATATCAGTATGAATGAAAATCCTAAAACCAACAACAAAAAACTATACAATCGGCTCGTTGTGGTTCTTTTTTCTTGTTTATACTACTATCTTTATTACGTATGATGCTTTTAATGTAAGTTTTAAAGTAAATACCAACTTACCAGATATGTAAGTTGGTATTTACTTTAAAACTTACATTAAAAGCATGGAACATGTATTTTATTTAATTGGAAAAACATAACTAAAACACAAGCAAATATTTTTTTCATTTTGACCTCACAACTGCTTGTACTCACAGTTTCCTAAGACATGCGCACTTCCTAGTCAAATGTTCAATCTGCTCCTTTGACGCTCTCTCCACTTGCTTGATCTTCGTAATGTCTTCTGATCTCTTTTCTCTTAGCTCCTTCTCTCTCGCCAGTGCCTCTCTAGTTAGTAAGGGACATTAGGAATAATTTTGATTTATGGGAAAAACATTAATTTCAAAGCGCTTGGGACAGGGTCACTTCTAATATTAAAATATGTAGTAATAAGTGTTCTGGAAAAAAACTAGTGTTTTCAGGTAAGGCTGTATAGATTTAAAATCTTTCGCTTATTCAAACACGGATAAAAAAGTGTCATTCAAAAAGGCGGGTTTGTCTATGATCTTTAAAACACATTTTTTTGGAAAAAAATTATTTATTTAAAAAAATCAAATTAAGTAGCTAACTAACTACTTAAAATTGAATAATAAAATATAAAATTTTAAAAATAAATATAACTAATAATGTTAATATGGTTACAAAAATTGAGCTGAATTTTGAAAAATATTATAATAGTATGATAATGTTTCGCTGAAAAGTGATATAATTACAGTGTTTACAAATAAAATGAAGAATAATCTCTATCTCAAGAAAATCTTGAAGACGATCACTTTATTTATTATAAGCAAGCTTCTTAAGAAGGGCTGAACCGATTTGATTCTATTGTGTTAAATTATAGTGCCATCTAAGTTCTAACAAAAAATAGTAACTGCCGAGAAAATTTTTAATATTTCAAAATAAAACTGAAAAATGATCCTTTTTTAGGGAGTTTTCGTCAACGACAAATTATCAGGACAGCGTCTTAAACTTAAGTTAATTAAGAAATAGTTGTAAGCAATTTCTTTAAACAATCCAACTAGCAAAATAACCGTATAAATAATACAAGACTTAAAATTTTTTATTAGTGTATTGCTGCAGACCCGCAGAGTGAGTTATTTACTTTTAATGATATTCTTCAAGTCTTAATGCACTGAAGAGCATACTTATAACTTTCTACTAAAACAAATTCCACCCATATCATATTGTAGCGTATTTGCTTCGCTCATAAAGCTCTAATATTTCCTCTAGCTCTATTTATGGCCTGGTAGTTAATATGATTATTTCTTATCGACCCAATTAATGTTCAAAAACTAAATACCCAATTTATTTGTAATTTACAGATTAAGAAAAATAGTCTGTTAATATTGTCGTCTTCAAAATTTTATGATACGAATCATGTGAGGTGTAATGATAAACCATTAGGCAGTATTATAGGAAAGAAACAAATTTTAAAGAAAAGCTAAACAAATATCAGCAATTCACAGAATCATAACTATAGTCTCGTAATATCCATGACATAAATGATTGATTGGTGACATAATGATTACATCATTATTTCTTTCATAAAAAGTTGGTAAAGGACATTAGGATCTAGTCTTAATTAGCTTCGTTACTAGAAAAGAAATCGCTGAAATCCAATGGTTTTTCTATAATTATAAATTAATTGCTCTTTTTATCAAACTTTATTCTTCCTGCTCTCTACTATTTGAAGATAGAATATGAGTGCGAGCGAAAGGAGGAACGTGGCGAGAGTGAGACGGAGCGATCCGGTAAATGCGCAAACGCCACCGGCCGCGACGACTGCGCCGAAAGTCGTGGAATTCGATGTGGTACTGTCAAACAATAGCTATTTAAAGAAACCATTTTGGTGTTTCAACAATGTTTACTTTATGTTGATCAAAGCTTACTCGTCTTGCTTCTGTAAACATAGCATACTTACTTTAGAATTATGCGTTAATCAAATTTTCAATTAAAAGCTGCTATTTCAATTGTTACCGCTGCGTTGTTAACATTTTTCAAATAACTGATAGCAATAAGTATTTAAATTGGTTTAATATAAATAGGAGCCTCAAAATTACATTAATGAATAATACTGCCTTTTGGACATATCAATTTTGTGATGAATATTATGATGATATACACATAAATGATGCATGAAATGATGTAATGAAAATGTAAGAAAGCAATCATGGTTAGTAATAATTGTATTAAGCCAGACAAGAAAAATCAGTAATCAGATATGTTTGTAAAAATTATCTCATCTGACTTTAAAGGAAGTAATTTTGACATGCAAACAATGGTAGCCCAATTCGGTCCAAAAGACAATATTCAACAACAGAAGATTAGTTATGTAAATAAAACACAATCATTGCATGAAGGACTAAATTTTGCTACCAGATAATGATTGTTAAAATACCTATTGTTTAGGATGAGACCTAATAATGACATTACAAATGAAAAAAAAGTGAGCTTTTTAAAAATAAGAGAACGACAATAGATCGTTTTATTGTTTTTTTTTTTAATCAGATTGGTTATTAGGACTCATCAATATATAAATAAATTCATAGTTACTTTAATTCCACTATTTGAAAACTATGACAAAACGATGTCTCTGATAAACCAAAGTTTTTTTGGCAGAATGATGGAAAAGTCAACAATAAATGTAATGCATGAGATGAGGTTACAAAGTATTAGAACATCATCCAAAAAGTATGTACAGTAAATGAAAAAAAAAATGACGCCATAATATACATACTTGAGCTCTTCTTCTGTAACAGCTAAAGTACGACCGCATGCTGCCGCTTCGGTTGCTAGAGTATCGAAATCAACTGATTTCGATTGAAGTAGGGACTTCAATTCTGTAAATTGAAAGTTGATAAAATGCATGCAAAAAGTTCAGTACTAATATTTATTTATATAAATATTGTAAGTAAATATTATTTAAATATTTATCAGAGAAAGTTTACGATGGAATTCCTAGTCATTGTTATTTAAATTAACCTAATTATGATTTCGAAATGAAAAAATATGTATTTTTGTATAAAAATCTAAATAGCATGACAACAAATATTTTTAATGATATTGTTATTTTCACTAAAACTTCTATATATTGTTACCTAGTTATTTTATATGAATCGGACCTACCAGCTATCTCATCTAGCAGTTCTCTTTCTCTCTTTACCCTCTCTTCTTCCCCTTCCTGTAGACACTCTGCTTTCATTCTCTGGAGACAGCTTTCCTTGTCGAACATAAATTGCTCCCATTGCTCATCTGGATGAAAACATCAGTCAATGAGCCAATAATATCGACTGTGCCAATTTAAAGTAAATATGAAAGTGTATCTTGAACTATTACCCATTTCTTGCCTATGCTGTTCTTTAAGTTTGTTTATCTGTTCGACTTTCTCGGATGTGAGCTTTTGACGTGTGGTTTCTAAAAGTTGCTTTGCTTCATCTGCAGCAGTCGACGCTTGTTCTTCTATTTCTTTAACTTTTTGTGACCACTCTTCTATAAGACGTTCTAAAATAAAAATATAGAGTAGGGGCTTATATTCGTCTTGACTCGTCTACGTGTAACGTCATATATTACTGTTAAACTTAGAATAAGAATGTATATTATCTTTTCTAAACTCACCTCTTTCTTTTTCGAACCGTTCATTCATCTTTTCTACGTTATTCGCATAAGTGATATCGGCTTTGTCCAGGAGATGTCTCAGCTGCATGATGTCCCAGTCAGCTTTACTGTGAGCTTCTGCGATGGCATGTTCGAATTGAGTCTCCTTGCTCGCGAGAACTTCTTTTAAATTTTCGAACTGAAATCATTCAAGATTTTAATGAAATAAATATATGATAAAAATCGATAATATCATTAAAATTTTCAACTCGCTTATGGGAAAACCACCGAGACAGTTCTGGTTGTTGTGAACCGTAACTTAGAAGGGAGTAAAATTTATGTAATAATACTAATTCTACCATATAAATATTAAGATTCAATTATGTTTGTGTATGCAGAACTCGAAAAGCAATCGATAGTTTGACAATAAACTTTATATATGAAAGCTTTTATAATATTACAAAGAAATTAAAACATTTCAACTCACCCTAGTAGTGACTTCTCTGAGCTTTCTATCCGCGTTTCTGCCCTCTTGTTCCGCCTCGGCCCGCAGTTGCGCGAGTGCAGTTCTGGTTCTTTCAGCGTGCATCCTCTCCAATGCTGCACGACTGTTCGCAGCGGAAGTTGCGTGTTCCGCCTTTAGATTGTCTATAGTCTCTGTGTGACGTTTTTCTAGTCTATCTATTGTCTAAAAATAAATGCACGATTTAGCTTGATGAATACTACTATTCTAAGCAAATATTTTTTGTTAGTAACAATCTCCTCTAGACAAATTTCGGTTTGAATATTTTAATAATGCAAGAAATACATTTATAAGTAATTTTAATTATTAAAGTTTTAAAAAGTCCTGACCCATTGATATATTTTGGGTTGGTAAAACCAACCCTAATTTTTCAGTTCGTTATAAGTCATTTAACGTGTACTTTTGAATTGAAAAACCTACATATTAATAAAATGACGACCATATTAATTGTATCAGTTACCTGCATATGCCTCTCATCCTTCTCTTTTGATATTCTTGCTTCCTTATCCAGTAGTTCTTTAAGCCGGTGCACCTCTAGTTTCAGTGCTTCCTCCCTCGTCTCCACGCGTTGCAGCTGCAGTGTCAGGGCTTGGACTGATCTTTGCTGTTCTGATGCTAATCCTCTGAGTTGTTGGAGTTCAGCCATATGAGCAGCTGAAGGCGGAGCTGATTTCATCTTTTCTACAGTTTCTGTCAACTGAGAGAATGTTAGATGATAGTTTGTTGTACTAGTATTTTGAGCCCATCTTTTTAGTAGGTAAAAGATGTCCTGAATGTAATAAAAGAAAATAATTAACTCAATATAGACTATTTGAAAGAGATCACTTAGAGTTAGCAAAGAAAATGTTCGTCTAGACAAGGTGTTATCTTACAGCTTTTTTCTCTTTCTCGGCGTCCCTGGCTTTCTTTTCCAGTTCTCTCATCTTCCACTCGCAGTCTGCTAACATGCGTTCGGCGCGCGCCGCCGCTTGATTCCTGGCCGCCTCGTGTGCAGCTCGCCATTTTGTTGTGTTTTCTTCCGCTGTTGTCAATGCCTTAAATCACATTACAGAGGTTGATTAGAGCTTTGCTACAAGGTTTTATACTTAGGTATTATACTTGTGTTTTCTTTCTATCTTACCTCTTGAGCCTTCTGTTCTTGCAATAATTTCTCTTGTTGCAGTCTATCTCTATCTCGCTCTAATGCTTGCACTCTAGATTCTAATTCTGCTCTTCTATTGTGGGCATCTTCTAGCTCTGCTCGCAACTGACGTAATGATTCATCTATAGGATGATTATAAAATTCTTAAATACAGACTTAAGAGGTATAACTGAACAACAGTAGGACTGAACAATATCTTGAATGCAGAACACAGATAGAGGTAGCAATGAAAATCCATGGTTTCGACGTATTTTAATAGATAATTCAAAGTTATATTTCTCCTATTCTAAAATTATAAAGAGGAAAGATTTGATTGTTTGTTTTTTTTTATGGATCCGAAAGTACTGGACCGATTTTAAAAAATCTTTCACCTATGGGGAGTTACATTATATGATGTAAACATAGGCTATATTTACCAGCAAATAATCATTGTTTGCCATTGTTTTAATATAAGTCGCAAGTTTTTCTATGCGCAAAACAATGTCTAAATATGTGTATTAGTGTCTCACCATTCCTCTTCTGCAATTGTTGAGCAAGGTCAGCGGAACAGCTTCTCGCTGCAACCAACTCTTCCTCCAAAGACTTGCTGCGTTGCTTGACCAGTTCTGACTCTTTGTACGCTGCGGCCAGCTCGCATTTTAATTCTGTAAGTGAAAACATATAAGCCAATAATATAATTTACTCAAGTAGTTTAAGTGGGGTATTTATTACCAGGAAGATATAAAAATACATACAAGGCTATATAAAATGATAATGACATAGTTTTAAGTTTCTGTCATTTTTAAATAATTATAATATTAATTTCCTGTATTTAACTTTAATAATTAAATTAATATGATATTTGCATGCTAGTGTAATTAATAGCTCAGTGAGCTGAACCATAATTATTCTTCTACCCTTTAGTTGTACCTCGTTTAATAACAATTAATATAACAATAATAATTATTATTAAGTGTGGTTTGATAAGTAGGCACTCCAGTGACTTCACTTGTTTGGGTTTTAAGGCTGCGGTTCTTAACCTATTTGGCTGGTTAGCTAAAATATAATATTTAAAACCTGACACCTTAACTAGTCTCTGGTTTATTCAATATTTTTTTAAGAATTATTGTTATTCATCCCAATACCACTCGCTGATCGATTTTGTTTAAAAACTGTTTTCGAAATTCTAGTATGAGTTTACAGATTTTATAGACGCCTATTCTAGATTTGTTAAATATTCGCATACGAAATTTGAAATGTTTATTTTATTGATATTGTACTGAATTCTGATAAGCTAACCATGGCAGATGTTAAAATTAAAATAATATTAAATAGGATTTGTACAATAATTATGTGTCAGTATTATTTATATACCATTACACTGCGTGTACTAATTGCGGAATTTCGTGTTCGCTAATTACAAGCTTATGTCACTATCCTTCATGGCGATCGTTCAAGGGCAATGACGCCCACTGACTGAAGTTTTTCTTAAAAAATTCCTCATATCGCTCAACGAAATGCATCGCATGTTTTCCGGGAAGAGAAAAATGAAGTTTTTAATGTTTGTGTATGTGTGTTCGTTAACTTTACTATTTAAACAGCTGTAAAGTGCAAAGAATTTCTAAAGTAAATTCGAAGGAATCATATTATTAAAAATAAATAGTGTTGATTGTTACATATTTGTGTATAACAACGATACATTCATTAACTAACTGAAGAACTAGAAGAGATGGCGATGAGATGAGACTCCATTTTGGGGTAACTGGAACTGGTTACTTTTTGTAAAGGTAAAGATAAAAATAAGCCTAAAGCGGAGGAGTTGGTGCGATAAGTACAGGGCTGGATTAGCCACGTAGCAAAAGTAGCAAATGCTGCGGGCCCTGCGTAATTGGAAGCCAATTAAGTAATTTTTCAAGTCAGAGTTAAATTATGCAAGAAATAAAATAAGCCAATCTGACTAGTCATATTTTTAAGTATGAATATAAACTGACAAATACTCTCTGGCTTAATTCGGCACTGGATAAGTATAGGTTAGTTACAAAATTATGGAAAGAGGAGATTTGATAAAATTTTTAAGAGAAGTTTCCGTTAACCACACGAATGGTTGCGAAAAATGGCAATCGATAAATGAATATTGTGGTGAAAAGGAGAAATATTACTTAGAATAAATTGGTGAGAAAATAGTAGAATATAGAATCTTGGTCGTATCTGATGAAAGAAAGCTATTAATGTAGCTCAATTAGTTATACCTAGGATCGATATGATACAAAGACTGCATTTTCAATGCGAACTTGTTATCAAAGCAGTAGAAAGTAACGAGAATGACATTGGCTGTTCAATGCTATGCAGAGCTGATGCGTTGAGTCCTCATAAATTTACCTACAACGGACGCATCCGCTAATCAGATGGTCCACGTCGCACTGAACCATCGCTACAGTTGTATTATATGACCTGCGCGGAAACTAGACTAAAAAGAAGTAAGAATTTAGTTATAACATTGATTTTAATAATGCATGAATTCAATAAAAAACCTTAAAGATACGCTAAGGTCAGATATTTAGAGCAATGCACTAGTAAGAAATTGAAAAGAAAATATCCTGCCAAATCAAGTCAACTAAGAGCTTATAATAAATTGTACTCGTTCGAAGCTGGATCGTGTCATTAGTTTTACATTAAAGAAGCGTACATAGGTTGGCTTTGTGTTAACAATGATTTTCAGAGAACAAAAACTATTTCCCCAGGTGATACAAAGACTTTAAGAGTGCATTACTCCGTGGCACATTTAGAGCTGGCCACAGTCCAACTTTAGTTCGTTTCAATCAGCTTTCTTTGCGTCGACGTCATACAAGTGAATAATATATAGTCAAGCGAATACGACACATCAACGTGAGGATGGGTACGCAGCAACGATATTTATTATTGTGTATAAAGGTGTTTGTCCGCAGTGTTGCGAATGGTATTTCTTTGTTTTGATGTATACCTTTTTTAAAACAAAGAGGTTTTTTTTAAATATTTTTCTAACGCCAGTTTTCTACACATCATTACTTTTAAAATACCAGAGTCACAAACTATTTCTAATCAATGAATCACTAATTATACATATCTCAGCCAGCGCCTCTTCACGTGAGAGCAGAACTGCCTCTTAGTACAATTTATTCCTGAGTTTCATAATTAACAATTTCTAATCTTTTTAATCTCTATTACAATTTGACCCTGACTTTCAGATGTAGTGACGCATAAATGTCGTGTAAAGAGAAATATGACATGTTAAACATATCACTTGCTTGGTCATAGTGTGTCTGTCTCTCCAATATATAGAAAATCATCAGTTCATCAAAGGCGGTTATCTGTAACAAACGACATAGATTGCGCCCAGTGTTTATTGACTATGGACGCGGGGTTAGCGTTGTTCGCTATGGTCATGGATTAAGTTTCTCGCATGGGCTTATCGCCGGACTTCTGTCTTTGGTTCTATGCTATAATTTTATATGACTTTAATACTACTTGTATCTAACACTTTGAACTCACGTTCTATTTCCTGGTCTTTCGCTTCAATATCTTTCCTGTATTGTGCTATCAATTGTCTCGCTTTCTCTGTCTCCCCACATCTTGTATCAGCTAGCTCTGTTAGTGCTGACACCTGTGTTTGGAACTTGCTCTCCTGGCTCACCAATGTCTTCCTGAAAAAGAAACAGAATAGATTTATAAGCATGTAAAATAAGATGTTACGTAGATACGCTTACAATGACAAGATTTACAAATACTGTATTATTTTTAGATTTCAGAATCAAGAATAGAGTTATTTTTCCCTAAATATTTGTGTCACTGCGGTAATAAGTTTCGGATTTCTCGGTCAGCAGAAGAAAATGATATTATGAGGCTCTCCATGAAAGCAAGGATCTAAATGGTTCGTAACGATGGTATCTGGAAACTCACGTTAGAAATAATGGACCGCTTTGCTAATAGATAGTATGTTTTAGGCGGCATTAAACTATAAATAATAATGGTATTGAAGTACATCAGAGTTTTCCCTAGTACTATATACTACACCACCGATATCCAAAATGATTAATTATCTTCATAAATAAATATTTGGGTGTCTATTAGGTTTAATAGGGGAAATATGATATTCTTATTGGCATAACAAAAAATATCTTTCTTTTTTTTCTGTTTACTTCTCAGTATAATTAATTATATTAGAAATTAGGCAAAGACACTTTGAAGTTAATGAATTAGTAATAATGCCACTTTTGCTATATTGGGGTAAGTAATAAAAAACATGACGAGTTTGGGTATTCCTAGGGAGCCTAACGATCTTGCCATAACTCTAGCCATAGCTATAAGAATCTTCATTGATCTATCAATGAATATGTTAATATTCCCGTACAATTTTCCTGTTTTATAATTTACATTCTTATCAACTGAATTTGAAATTTAGATTGAAGTTAGAATAAATTTACAAAATGTCGAATTTAGACAAATAAAGTTATCTATTTAGAAAAGAAAAATAAACCAAAATATTTGATTAAATATATAAATAATATTAAACATTTCATTTAAAAAGACAGACTCATAGCTAAAAATAATAAAACTTTTTTTAGCTATAGCCAGAATAAAGGCTAAAGAGTTAGGCGCTCTGCTGGTGTAAACTCAGGACTTGGTGAAACTACCTGACTTGGTGAAACTACCTCCCCAAACTAAGGTCAACTTATTAAGCTGTTCTGGAAGTTTCACTCACTTTTTTACAATTGATAAAGATAATAAACATAAATAAATACCTTTCATCATATTTCGCGCCCTTTTTCTCTATCTTGCACGTAGCACTAGGTACCTAGTTACCTGTAACTAGGCACCTATTGCTATGTGATCCGTCGCTAAATAAGTATACTTGTATAGATATACCAATATAATGCAATGGAAAAATATTCGTTCTTCTTGCATCTAATTTAAATTGATTCTGTGCAGACTTGTGTATTTGAAATACTTGAAATTTTCAATAGCTTTATTTTCGGACGTCTAAGAACTAGCGATGCGGTCTAAAAATAACGATCTTCGTTAAATTTATTTTACATTTAAATAAGTTTTTCATTCGAGTGTTTCCAATGTTTTAGGAAAGTATTAGAGCATCTATTATGTAAGTAAATACTAGATACTATACAGGAAGTATTTGTTATCCGTATACAATTTATTTCCAATGATTTAGTATCTTTTAATTTCATTAAAAATTTATAACGATGTAGCAACCTCACAGACTAGCTAATTTATAATAACAATTCTAGAAGCTCATAATAGAACATATTTACGTTTTCTTTTTTAATTTCACATTTAGGTACACACGGCTGCACGTTAGATATACATTGTGGCCTTTGTCCCGACTGCGCTTCGTATAGAACTTACGGTGGTTGTGTGTAGCGTGACGTGCAGCCGTGTGTACATTTAATTGGTAATACCTAATCCAATATATTTTTCAGTGTTTATTGTATTACATTTCATGTTTATTTTAATTGATAGAAATAAAAACGAAAAATTGGCAAATCTCTGGGACTGGGTAGGTAGGTATTTTTATCTTTTTTTTTTAACCTACTTATATCTCCGATAAGTAGTTTAAAAAAAAAAGATAAAAATAATGCAAATATTCTATTTCTATGTAACTTCGAAACTAACTTCACTTATGTCAAGAAACGTTACCAATTCAAGGTTGAGTGGATGCCGCTTTTGAATAGAATTCGGAAACCTGAGTGAATTCGAATTCGTGTTCAAATTTTTACAGAATTGCAGGGCAGATTGCAATTTTTCCTTTATTATCGTTTGTTTTTTAATGAGAAGTCCATTAGGTTTTATTAAAGTTAATTTTCAAATAAATAGATACGAAAACACCCTTTCGTAAAACATTAACAAACAAATCAATTACAAACTCATTGTTTTTAATAGCGTAGAAAATTATTTTCACAAAAAAAAAACTAAAATAAAACAACACAGAGTTGGTTTTATCAAAGAATAAAAAATATCAGAGTACACACAGCGAGAATCGACTTTGTTATATACTATGTATAGAACACACTTTCAATGTTATAATTTACGTAAAACAATCATAGGAAGCGAAACATAAACAAAGGAACTAAACAAAAACGAATAATATTGAAAATAATTTGTGACTCAAACATAACGGAACGTGCGTCAAACAAGATGGCGTCCTTGAGCTGTCAAAAAGCGCGCACAACTCGCCATGAATATCTCCCCCTCGCAAGTTTATCATATGATATGGTAAACAAAGAATTGAGTGGATGAGGAACAGTCTATAAACTTCGCATTAAATAAAAATAGCATTTTACTCTGAATTGAATAATATGTCATGCTTTGACTGCCAATTATTTTATTGCTCGACGTTATGTCTACCAGATATTCAATGAAAAAGTGTGAATATTTTTTTATTCATTTTTATCCAAACATTAGAGAAAACACAGAGTTTGAATGTATTAGTTTTTTATGGTTAAGGAACGTATATTAACAGCCATGTTTGACGCAATACTTTTTTGTGTTTACATATTCGTTTTCACGCCTTTTTGTTCGTAAAACGCAAAGCACCTTTACAAAAACAAGCTATGAATTCGCGCAAAAAAATCAAAGCATTCTTTTTATTAAAAAAACAGTTAAATTAAAATTCTGATATAGTTAAACGAAAGTAAATTAATTGGGTATTATAAGTTCAAATTTTAATGGCTGGACCAAACTGGTAAGATAGAAAAATATTGATATACCGAAGAATTAAATAATACTGAAAAGAGACTTATTTTGCATAAGATTTTAGAGTCCTTTCGAAATAATGAGGAGTTCGATGTCTAGATTACTCCAATTTTTCCACCAATAATTTTTCCACCAATAGAGAAGATGGCCCCAATAGTAGAAGTATTAATAGGCGGACCAAATTATTCTTTTCTCTAGTGATTATTATATTTATACGAATAAAATTGATAATATGCATTGGCGCGATTAACATATATTTCCCATTGATAAGTTTATACGATGTCCATTAGAACTTACCTACCGCAACACATAACAAGATACTTTCATTTAGATTAGTATTATACAGATATTAGTATCCATTTAGATAATTAACCTCTTTTCCAGTTGGCAACAAACGCGGTCGCCAAGCATTCACTAATCCCAAGTGGATAATCATTGACAATGTATATTGTGTTGTAATTTACATTCAATATTGCTGTATTCTGAATCATCTTGTGATCTGATCTGAAATTACTATAAGAAGTCAAAGTGACTTATATTCTGGAGTGTTTCGAATTTAACAAATAAAATAAAAACTTTTTCATAAAAATGACGTGACTTGAAACTTTTAAAAACGCTTTTCATTTATTTCATTTTACATGTGGAAATTAATTTATTCACTTGACATTGTCAGATTTTTGTGATATGTGCAAATAAGTCTTTAACAAAAAAAGAAAGAACTTTAAAAAGAAAAACGACTGAAAAGAGAGAAATAATACAATAAACTTTTATCTTCAATAAACACCAACAATGTTTTGAGGTCGGTGCCAGCCGGTTAGAAGTAAAATAGGTCTATCAGAAAACCTATTTTTTTTCTCTTACTATACATGTTACTTTTCTAGTAAATCTCGGGCACAGACCGCAAAAACTAAAATTGTTGGTGTATCCATTTCTTGTGTTACGACTTTATTGAAAATAAAAAAATATGATATTATTCCTCTTTTCAGTCGGTTCCATTATTACGATATCTTGAAGTACTTTTATTTTTTTATTGTTTATTTATTTATTCCTTTTTTAGTAATATACGTTATCACCTATCCATATTATTAACTTCTTACTTATAACAAACTAGCTTTCGCCAGCGGCTTCGCCCGCGGGATCTCTAGGAAAATGTTTAGTGGGATATAAAGTATCCTATCTAAATCAGCTAATACCCTATCTGTATACCAAATTTCATCAAAGTCCATTCACTAGTTTTGGCGTGATTGACGGACATACATTCAAATCCAAACAAAGAAACAATCACGTTTATAATATTAATAGGATAGGACACCTTCGTCTGTATTGAAACATTCTTTTATTTACGGGATAAACTTTTTCTGTTATGATAGCAATTCTAACCTTACCTAACCTTCTGTTCTGGTAACAGTTCGTTTCGTTCTAGTAACTAAATCCAATGTCTAATTTATGAGAAATAAATTTTCAACCATATAGACCCATATACATATATTATACATATTCAAAATAAAGCACACATGTTTAGAAGCGCATATAATCTAACATATACGAACATTGCGCCATATTCCATCAAAATTACGTACATATAGGTTAAATTGATTACCTATTTCTTTTAAGGTCGGTTATAAACCTACGGGAGTAGCTCGGTGGAGTAGTGGATAAACGCCGCGGCCCGCGATCGTAGTCGTTAAGCAACTTTCGCAAGGGTCGGTCACGGGATGGGTGACCAAAAAATATTATCTTAAGCTACTCCGTGCTTCGGAAGGCACGTTAAGCCGTTGGTCCCTGCTGCATTAGCAGTCGTTAATACCCTCCAATCCGCATTGGGCCAGCGTGAAGGGTCATGGCCCATCCTTCTAAACCATCCATACGGAAGTCCTGAGTCCCTGCAGTGGGGACGTAAAAGGGCTGGTGATGATAAACCTAAAGAACAAATTGAGATCCTTTTTTTATGTCGATTAATGACGTACAGATACAGGTAAACTAACGGCCTCCTTTTTTAAAGTTGGTTAAAAAGTCATCAATTTTACTCCTTTATATGACGGTATATTTTTTTCTTGCTTTTTTTATAAGTAGCTTAATTTTAATAGGTTATGTCTTCTATCTATTGAACCAATTTTGATGACACTTGTAGTGTACCCTAAGTTGAAAGCTAATAAATCAAATAAAAGCCATTGCAATCCGATGTATAGTTTGCGTTATTAGTATTTTGCACACCTGTTTAGACGCTTATATAGACCAACATTTGAATATTACGCCATTTTTATTTTTAAACGAAACTAAATTACATGCATGCACCTCGAATTGATCACCTTTTTTTAATATATTTTTTTTATCGTTACTTAATAACATTGGGGCTACTAAGACAAACGATACCTCAATTATCTGAATCCGTTAAGCAGTTTTGAAAATATGTGGTTATAAGTAATATTACATACATACATACAAGATACGTGCGAAACACATAACCATTACTTTGCTACTAAGAAAGAAAGAAAACTACTAATTCGATTTTGATAAAATTTAAAAGCAACGACCTCGGTCCATTAAGCTGTCGACCAATAAATAAAGAATTTTGAAAACCGGTCAACAATTTGCGGAAAAATCGCTCAACATACATAAAACAAAAACAAACATACATCGCCGTCAAAGATATAATCTCTTCCTTTTCGATAGTCGGTTAAAAATTAACGGTACGTCGGTACCAAAAACTTTAAGGAACAGGTACAAGACATTTATTTAGAAGACGTACAAAGATCACCTAGTTATGCTTTCTTTTAGCATTAGCTGTATCGATTTAAAAAAAAATCTTTGTAAATCAAAATGAACAAAGAGTACCGGCAATATCGGCAGGCCTTCGGCGTAACTTCAAATTCGATTTGGATCACTTGGATTGGATTAAATCATGAATGAAAGGGCAAAAAATATTTGATGAAAACAATGTTATACGTATATATTGTGTTTATGTGTTATTATAATCCAATGATAGTTTAGTCGAAGTTAAGTATAACTCGTACGAACTAACATGAAACCTGAGGGCTTATTCTATTTGTCCTCTCAACGAAAATTCAAAAAATTTCGTATTTTTCTTATAATTTTGTTCATAAAATCACATTCGTGAAGATTATCTGTGCATCAGAAGCAGTGTCAGGTTCAGGTTGTACCTTCGTTGCAATATAAATGCGTTTGTTTGGGGTCGTATTAGCATTTCAAAATTTGAAGAATTTGAATTTCTTATTTGATATATAGAATTTGTAAAACAAGTGAGCCTAATTAATGTGTTTTTATGTTAAGAAAGTATCTAACATTGTTATTTTTTATTAAAGTTATAACATGTTTTCCCATTGAAAAAATATGTTACTTTTTAGAGCTACATCTATCTCCAACTCAGGGAGAGAAGCTTTCATATTATTAATATTGTTATGTTAATATTTTTATGTTAATATATTACAATATTTATTAAAAAGATAATAAGCTTACTTATCACTAGGCTGGTTGTCATCGGCACCAACAAACTCTTCCTCCTCCTCCTCTTCTTCTTCCTCTTCTATTTCTTCTATCTCCTCGATCTCTTCTATAATCTCCTCTTCCGTTTCACTCTCACTCACCTCACTCTCACTCTGTTCACTTTCCTCCACCTCTATACTTTTACCGCACGTCGCGTCATCACCCGACTCATTCTTTTCACTATCAATAAAGCCACTGTCACTGTTGTCACTAGATATTCTTTTTAAACTATCGTCGTTGATATTAACACTAACATCACCATCTGTAACGTTGATAAGCGTCCTATTATCATTTTGAGATACTACGTAACCTCCCAATAATTCGTCGCTATCTGGCAAGGTATCCTCCAAATATTCTTCTTCTTCCTCTTCAGAAGAAAGAGATTCGAATGAGGAATCGACCTCTTCATCAGTCTGTTGCTCGCCATCATCGAAAACGATATGCTTTCTGAATGTGACACGTTTTTTGCCGCAATCTGATCTATCGTCATCGGAGCAACCTTCAGTATCAGATTTAGGCGGTTTCAAATTTGATTTCTTTATAAGAGCCGGAGATTCCTCTCTGGTTTCTTTTGTTTCGACATGCAGCAATTTTTTAAGCTCACTTTTCAATTCGTTTTTGTAAGTATCAATTTCAGGTTTGTTCTTATCCTCGATCGTTTCGTATACCGGTTCAGATCTGCGTTCCGTTTTACTATCTGTAGTCCCCATCTGCTTGTTGATGCCGTCTATGGTGCAGTCTATGCTCCTCGCGATCTCGCGGAGCAATGCCTCCGCATGTCGTTTCTCTTCTTCAGCTGGGTTAACGTACACGAGCGACACGTGTCTGTCCGCCGGCTTAGTATATTTTTGCAGGACTAATGCCTTCACGAACTCCGCCTGATCGTCAGTGCTCGTCTGATTGTCGCCAGTATTTTTGGGTGTGACGTCATCCGGCGCCGCATCTGATTTGCTGCGCTGCAAATTCGTCTGCGTCTCTTTAGGCGGACTCACGCGACAGGATTCCGAACGTTTATTCTTATTTTTCTTCCTTTTACCAGCCATCATTTGTAATATCGCGCTTACACCACTTTTTTGACTATAATCTACCTCTGGTATTAATAAGTTGACTACATCTTTGCGGGTTACCGCTTTCTCGTTCGTTACATCACTGTCGTTTGGCGCGCGCGCTTGTGTTTTTTCGGGAGCGGCCGGCGTTTGTCGGGTACTCTCGGGAGACGCGACCTCGGCCTTCCCGCTCCTTCGCTTGAAGAAATTAAACATGGCTGCGCTATATCAAGCGTTCGGCGCCCGTTCTCTGCCTACGCCATGTCCGTTGCTGCCGACGCTGACGGCTGGACTGTAGTAAAAATAAATAAATTGTGATGGAGTCGACTTATTTTTCTCCAGTTGACATTTGCGGCGCAGTGTTTTGTTTTTGGATTTCAGAATAGACTGTTTGACGTGCTAGGTATTCAAAGTGATAATTCTTGATATCTACCTAGGCACTTAATGTGCCACATTCACTTATATTTATGAAAGGTAATTTTATATTTATTATATTTTGTATGAAGGTTTTCTTAGAATATGAAGTTATATCATTTAGCGTTATAAATGAAGAGGTTACAAATGGGAATTATAAACATATGTGTCAGTATACTGTATCAATACTGTATCAGTACCTATCAATATATTGATCACGTCAATTGGAATGCTTGCGACCTTTAGCTTAAATTAAGTAAGGAGAAAATTGTTTTTTATACTGATTAAAAGTTCCCTAGGTGGGTAACGGGTAACGGTAAAAGATAGGTACTTATTACGAATCAAGGCGAAAGAAGTTGCTATTGAAATTGAAAATATTGTTGTCTTGTCAAATCTTATAGTATAAAAAAACATTTTCTGCTGACTTTATGGCTTTAAGCCAAACAGGTTGACGCTTTCAACACGATATTACGTACATCATGTAACATTATCGTCATGATCTATCATCGTATCTTTAACTTCACTTTGTTGAACTGAAGAATTGGGATTGTGGGCTAGTGGAGTACCTAGTTTGAATTTACTCTATTTCGAAAACGAGTATTTTCCGTAGGTTTATTTTGTGGCATGCTTTTATAATATTTTAAAAAGTCTTGTCTTGTCGTATTGGGGCAGACACCGTGATTGCTAGCTGGACACCAAGCTAAGGCTACTAATGAACAACGGCACAGGCCTTCCCTATAGATGGAATCGAATAGGGAGAATGAATCATGATCGATCATTAACCAACACGGGGATTCAGTGCGGATTGGTGGGTATTAACGACTACAGATGCAACCGGGAGCAACAGCTTAATGTGCTTTCCGAAGTACGAAAGAGTTCGAGATAATAATTTTTTGGATCATCCATCCTTTGACCGTCCATTGTAAAAGATGCTAAACAACCGTATCCCAGACCGAGCGCGCGTTTGCGCCATTGAGCTCTTTAATTACTTTGAGATTATTATCGTAAAAATTATAAGTATGAAACTATGTATAATCTTGCAATTTATAACACGTGGCTTAGAATATTATATATACAATTATTCATCCTTGTCTTATCAAAGACATGTCAAAGTACTAAAATGAAACGAATAATCGCCATAACTTCGTTAAGATGTTGTATCTTATGATTAGAGTCATAGCTCGTGAATAAGGCGGGTACATCCCAAAAATTTATAAGGCGTAGACACATTAGTACGCGTGTGTTTCCGGCAATAAACTCACTTAAACGTCATCCACGTGTCAAAAACCGCATTTTTAACTATCTATTTTTAAATACACATTCTACTATTGTTTACTATTACAAACGTCGTAGAGTGAAATCGAATAAATCTATACGCACATTGTTATTGATTTGGCAAAGACGTAGGTACTATCGATTGATATAATTTAATGTTGTGTTGTAATACGTGATGTTGATGGCTATTTTTGGCTTTGAATTTATAATGAAGAAATAATATTTCACCACTTTATGTGGCTACTAGCTGTTTCCCCGCGATTTCGCTCGTGTAAATTATAGCCTATATATAGCAATCGCTACATCGTAGCACCCTGTAGGTGAAAGATTTCATGATCAGTTCTGTATTTCCGAACGATCAAAGTTAGACTCTACTTCTTGTACTAGTATGGATACGTCTTTGGGATCACTGTTTAGCACTTGCTTTCTAGTTTTTCTAAAATATATGACAGCAAATACCTACAGGAAAAAATTGTCATCAATACACAATATTTTCCCCATGTTTTCATTGAGTTAACTTTATAAATGATATTCCAACTTACAATTCATAGGTTCATTTATTTTAAGTACTTAAAAAGCCAATTAAGGATATGTTTCGTGTCATAAGTGTAGTTATTACGTTTAAAATAATGTGAAATATCTGTTGTTATGCTATTGTCTTATAGAATGACCACAATTTTTATTATATACCTATTTTAATGTTCTCAAATACCCTATTGGCTTAGAAATTCGTATCTCACTTATTTTTTCTAAAATGTTATTTTAGAAAAACTGGTTCAGAAACATTTTTTCAAATTTGCAACCCCTCATATATGATTTAACTTTGCCAATATATATTGTAATTTCATATATGGGTATATATTTTTATATACATACATATATATAGATGATATAAATAATGTTATATATTATATTTTTATATTTGTATATTATATTTTGTTATTAGTATGAGTTTTGTGTAAGAGATCTTTCATGAAGAAACTGAAGGAAGAGTATCTACAGAGGCAAAAATTAGGCCTAGTAAATGTTTATTAAGAATTTTTATTTTGTATTGAGTGTAATAATATTTATCTGTTATTGTTTATATTGATTACATTAAATTATTTATATAATACTTTGGAATTACACTGTACTCTCACTCCACATTCACTTTGATTTTTCGCTAGCGACCAAACGGCGACTAGGGTAGGTACAGCTGAAAATCAGTGTCTGTTTCATATATGGAACATTCAACACTGAGCTGTATACCTCTTGAGCTACTGCTTCACACTCTAGTTCGGTGATATAAATCTAACTAAGTATTTTACAACAACTTATAATGTAGTGATAGTAGTGGTTCAATAAAGCATTTATCTATCTATCTATCTATCTATATATTTTGTATAACCTCTTCGTTGTGCTACCCCCTATGGTCTATTTCATACCCTTACTGGTTGATTGGCAGCGAATATCGTACTTAATGGAGTAAGACATTTGCTGCCTTGTCGACCCTTATTTTTTCATTAAATAATAAATTAATCTACTTACACACTGAAAGTTAGTAACAGACTTTTTTGTGAACCTTACTTTCGACATTAGCAATGGGTAAGATAATAAAAAATACATCGAATATACGCTGTTTTCCCGTCATGAATCATGGCAAAACTATAATTATTTTTAAACATACCCACATCCCATTTGTCTCACCTTCAGCGTATTTTTTTCGTGCACACACACACACACACATTAAAACAAAAATAAAGTCATTGAGTAATATTGACAAACCGCCAGAGCTTTATCGTTATATTTAAAGTTTAAGTTTTACTGTAGGTTTACTTATACTTGAAATTTAACTTTATTTTAAAGAAATATCCCTCAATAAATATAAAATAGTGAGCTGTCCCTATTTACCGGTCAGCTCGAACTGCTATTGAGAAAATTAATCTCAAGAAGGCTAGCTGTTGGATGTAATAATAAAAAATTACTCACTACTCCGCTTATTACAACTCTTTCCAGCTACTGTAGTGTACTTAATTTCTTTAGCTATTACAAGTTAATATGTTATCATACGTTCAAACAGAATAGACTTAAATAAAACTCACTACATATCTAATAAAAATTCACTTAATTTTAAATCTTATGTATGGGTATTTTCAAACCTCTTATGTATAATAAAGTTCCAATCTAGGTTAATTCTAAATGTCTATTATGTCATAGCATATCTGAATTAACAGTTTCATCTAACAGCATTATTCCAACTTAAATTTATAAATATTATGTAACTTTTAGGAAAGTAACAATCATTAAATAAATGGAACAACTTTTAAACGGTTTAGGGGACATGGAGCTGACGTGACGCGAAAATGAAACCCAACCATTAAATAAAATTTGACAACCCAAAAATACTTGGGGCTGAATAAAAAATTCATCCCTAGGCGAGGCTATTGAAATTAAAAAACATCCGAATTTTAATTGAGATGAAGGTTGGCCATACCACTGGCTTGGGATCCAAGTAATTAGTCAAATAAAATCTCCAATCCTGATCACATGTTGCAAAACCAAAAGATACAGTTAGTTAATTTTGTAAATATTAACTCGAAGGGAGCAATGTCAGAGCGTGTCAGAGTTTGTTTCGTCAGTTCTTCTCAAACAAGATTCCCAAAGTTGGAGCTGGTGGTAATTCCAACCGGACGATAATTTTGCTTTTACACCTCCAACGCATACATTTTAACTTTATTATTATGATTTTGGCGAATAGCGGCAGCCGATTTAGAGGCGAACCCCCTCTGCCCCTTAAAATGCGTTATCAAAGCTCCACCGTGCTCCTGAAGGCATTTTAAGGCTGCTGATTCTTATCAGTTTAATAAATAAGTACTTACCGTAACGACTCTACAAAATCCGCATCGTACGTACCTACGTTATGAGTTATGTATATGTAAAAGTTTATATGGAACCCCTCTGCCCCAAGATGATCATTATTATAATGTCATCATGATCATACTTTTAACTGTAATTTCATGTTAGCAGTGGTGCTAGAGTCACTGTACAGTACATTTAATTCTTTTAAGACTTATTACTAATACAAACTGGCAAACTGAGCTCGGATGACCGGTGCATCGTATTTTGTAGTTATATTTATAGTTTTACGGTTCCGTAGTATACAAGGAACCCTTATAGTTTCGCCATGTCTGTCAATCCGTCCGTCCGCGGTGGTCAAAAACTATTGGTACTAGAACGTTGTAAATTGGCATGAGTATACATGCTAATTTCTCCGACAGTGGTAAAGTAAAATTTTGAAAGAAAAAGTTTTTAAGCATACCTCCCCTACATGTAAAGTGGGGATGACAAATTTCGTCCTCCCCATAGTGTGGCACATCGTTGGATAGGTCGTTAAAAACATTGAGGGTTTGGGAAGGCCTTTTTTTGATTTAGTAAGCTGTTTGTGACTTATTAAGCTTTAAAGAGCTAATTTCCCTTAAAGTCAATTGTTCTCCGCTCTACCATCTAAAACGGTCATTGGTAAAAATTCAACGCTACCGCAGTAGTACTTATAATATATAATGAACTAAAAGGAATATTTTCACACTTAAGTTGGCTTTACAAGTTTACGAGTAATAGTCGACC